TTTTAAATTTTTAGAGGGATAAAGTTGAATTTATAAAATTTCAGGAGATGAAAAAATATTTTTAATTAAAATATATAAAAAATTTAAAATATATAGTAATTTTAAAATTTTTAGAGACGATTGTCTACACTCGCCTCCTTCGATCCATCCTGTATGGATGAGAAGCCACCCATGTAACTAAGGGCAGATGCACTAAGCTCCCATAGGCAGAGACGGAGCTAGGATCAAACGTTGAGGGATACATATTGTTTTAAAGAAAAATAATGAGGATCAATTAAATATTTGAATCTAAAAATTAGGAGGGACAAAGGTTTTATTTGACTAATATTTAAATTGAAAAGGACTTAAACTGCCATTATACCAAAAAATTTGGGATGGAAACAACCCGTTCCAACCATCAAGTAATTCCGTCCCTACTAACTAAGTGCATCCCATTATTTTAAAAAATTAATTAAATTTAATTTAATAGGTTAAAAAATTACATTCTCATTATTAAAAAAAAGTTTAAATTACTTTTATCGAGACTAGGGAAACAAATTCTGTTTCAATATTAATAGATTTGCCGTTAATCCATTTGAAAAGCTCTATTTTAATAATACGTTTGATAATGACGTTTTTTTCATGTACATTTTATTAAAAAAATCAATATATATAGAAAATGAGTACTAATTAATTTATTACAAATTTTATTAATTTTATTTCCCCCGAAAAATGACGTTGTCGATCTTTGATCAAACATTATTGCTCATACTTTATTAAGGTCACTAGATACATTTATATTTAAAAAATATTAAAATATATAACAATTTAAAAAATTAATAATAATAGTAATAATAATAAATAATGTCATCGTCATACTAATTAATAATAATAAAAATAAAAATAATTAAAATGGTCCCCCTTCTATCTCTTAAACCTTCACCATTGTCATGGTATGCAGATTTCTTCACCTGAAAACCACTGTCATCTCCTCTCTTCTTCTCTGGAAATCTCTCTTTTATTATTACAACATATATCATCAAAGGTCTCACCTTTGTTAGAATTTTTACGTTCCTTCTCTCTATTTGAACACAGAGACTGTAATAATCCCAGTTTTGTATTGAAAAAACCCAAATCTTTTCAATCGTTTACATAGCAAAGTAGCAAACCATGAAACTATAATCTTCATCATCGTCGTCGAATCTGCCTGTAGGATAAGGTTAGAGAAGACAAGCAAAGCGTATAAATATATATACATGGCGTTTCATCATAATAATCTTTCTGATCATCAAGAGCTTCCTCTCCGTCACTTTTCCGACCAACATCAGCAACAGCAGGCGAGTCAACTGCCTGAAACTAATGGCCCCAACTGGTTAAACTCCGCCCTTCTGCGTTCCCAGCAGACTGAAACGCCGCAGGCGCACTCTCAGTTTTCATCCGAGCCGAGCTTTCTTAATCTTCATACTACTACAGCTGCCGCTTCTGACTCCACCACGGCTTCACAAGCTCCTAACCAGTGGCTCTCCCGTACATCTTCTTCGCTTCTTCATCGAAACCATAGCGACGTCATAGACGACGTTGGTGCCTCCGCGGAAGCGGCGAGGGGAGGCGTGGGGGAATCCATGATCGCCATGGAATCGGGTGATTTCAAGAACGGCGGCAACGATATCATGAGCAGAGACAAGGGCGAAGGTACTGTTGTGGTGGAGAGCGGATGGGGCGGTGGAGATGGGGTCGTGAATTGGCAGAATGCAAGGTACAAGGCGGAGATACTAGCCCACCCTTTGTGCGAGCAGCTCTTGTCTGCGCACGTGGCGTGCCTTAGGGTCGCCACTCCCGTGGATCAGCTTCCGAGGATCGACGCTCAGCTTGCTCAGTCGCAGCACGTAGTGGCTAAGTATTCAACCCTCGGCGGTGGAGCCCACGGCCTGGTCGCCGATGACAAAGAGCTCGATCAGTTCCTGGTATGCTACCACCACAAATGAGACTGGTTTTACTGTTCAATAATTTGATTACTCATTAGCACTCTAACTAGTATCAAAATTCGAATTTCGCCAACAATTCTTTTACTAATGTAATAAATATTAGAGTTCGAATTTCACCGACATGATCTGTAAATTTCACTTTTAGTACAATTCTAGTAGCAATGAAGAACTTAAAATTTTTATGTTTACAGTACAATTGTAGCCAAATCTCATGTTTTAGACATTGATGTCTCTTTCTTGTTAATGCAGACACATTATGTTCTGTTGTTGTGTTCATTCAAAGAACAATTGCAGCAACATGTTCGAGTTCATGCAATGGAAGCTGTTATGGCTTGCTGGGAAATTGAACAATCCTTACAAAGCTTAACAGGTAAAACTGATCTACACCGATTCTCTCCCATATAGCTGGCTCTGATATAATCTCTGCCGGGGACATAAAACAGGTGTTTCTCCGGGCGAAGGCACAGGCGCGACGATGTCTGATGACGACGACGACCAAGTCGACAGTGATGCCAACTTGTTTGATGGAAGCATGGATGGTTCAGATTCAATGGGGTTCGGTCCTCTGATCTTAACAGACAGTGAAAAGTCTTTGATGGAACGAGTGAGACATGAACTCAAACATGAACTGAAGCAGGTAACTGATGGAACTTGATACATTTGTACATGTTTTTGCATTTGTATATATTTTTACACACTCCTTTACAGGGATACAAGGAGAAGATTGTTGACATAAGAGAGGAGATTTTGCGGAAAAGAAGGGCCGGAAAACTGCCCGGCGACACGACGTCGGTTTTGAAAGCTTGGTGGCAATCACATTCCAAATGGCCATACCCTACTGTATGTAGTTCAAGCTCATTGTGAAAAAAAAAAAAGCTTATGTAAGACGAAATAGTGGTTGTTTTTGTTGATGAATTTGGTTTTAAATGTTCAGGAGGAAGATAAGGCGAGATTGGTTCAGGAAACTGGTCTGCAATTGAAGCAGATAAACAATTGGTTCATCAACCAGAGGAAGAGGAACTGGAACAGCAATCCGTCCACTTCCAGCGTCTCGAAGAGCAAACGTAAAAAGTACGATATTTTTTTCCTTCGTATTTTCTATTAATAATCTAAAATAAAATTGTCCATGACTGCAAACAACGCGCATTTCGGCACTAACCTGTTTCGAAAGAAGTAATGCAGGTGAAAACAATGGCGACAGGTTCATGTAAATGGAGGGTTAAAGGGCCAAGCACAGAGGAGGAAGGGAGTTGTTTCTTGTTGGCCAAGCAATGCAAATGCTATATGTTGTCGAGAATTTAAGAGGAGTTGTATTTACAGTAACTTCATTGGATGAATCCATTTTACGGATTATGATTTTTGTTATAATTGTGTGGCAAAAAGAGTGAACAAGGCATGCTTGTAAGAACAAGCAATGGAAAGAATGAATCTAAAAGCTGCAGTTTATGGTATTCTGGGTAAGTTGTGGGGCTATCTGTTTCCCGGTACAGCAAAATAGCCCTTTGTTCGGGTAGTATGCCGTACCGCACATTAATTTAAAATTAAAGAAGAATAAATAAACCAACTAAAAATGTTATAAAAAATTAACATTTTTAGTTCGACGCAACTTTAAATGCTACAACTTAAAACGTTATGAATAATGTAATATTTTTAGTTCAACTAAAAATTATTAAGAAAAAAAATTAACATTCTAGGTCATTCTCAACCGAAAATATTTTATTTTATTTATAACATTTTTAGTTATGTTTTTTTAAACCTTAAATTAGACTGTACCTCCTTGCTGTCTTCCCTTTTGTTTCCATAATTTGGTGTTCTTCATTTCATTTTTTTTGCCATGGAAACAAATTATAGTTACATGAAACATGACCCTCTATTCCGGTAGAGGGGATCGAGTTGAGTTAGGTACATTTTTAGTCTATTTGAATTTAATAAAATATTATTATAATAAAATTTGATCTGTCAACGAGTGTGGTATTCAGAATTTGAACTTCTAAGATTAAGTTTAAATCATACCATCGTCACTCTTGGAGAATAATATATAAATTCTTATGTAAATTTCAATTGCGTATTATGTGCGCCCTTTCCTTACTTGTGGAGTCACCCTAACCTATGACAAAAAAATTGATTTGAATTTAAAATATTTTGATTTTGAACTGAAAACGATAAAAAAAATCTAGTTGAAAATTTAACTTCTACCTAATTAACATAATTTTCAATTTTTTACATATTATTGGCATAATACCAAATATTTTGATTTTGATCATCAAATGTATGGACAAATACACCCTAGTTTATATATAATATATTCATATAAAAAAAAGTATATATAATAAATTGGCATAATACCAAATTAGGCCCCTAAACGTTTACCAAAATGATCATTTTGCCCTTACTTTTTTTTGGAGCATTTGGGCCCTCTACACTCATTTTAGGGCAAAAATGCCCCTAACATTTGATAAAATAATCATTTTGTTTATTTTTTTCTTGTGCATTTTAGCCATCAACATTATATTTTAGGTAAAAGGGGCTCTTATTTTAGATCGTTATTTATATTTTAACTGATGGTTTTCATCTATAGAGGGAGTTTTCGCCCCAAAGTGAAATGTTTGGGCTAAAATGTTTCAAAAAAAAAAATATAGGTTAAAATGACAATTTTAGTAAACGTTGGGGGTTTTTTTTGGCGTTACGCCAAAAATATTTAATAGTTATTAAAAGTTGATTTTAGTTAAAACCTAAAATATCGACGTTTTTACCCAAACAATTAATAATTATCTTTCAAGCACCCATTGACCAAATTTTACCTATCTAACACCCATTTGCTGACATGGATGATTTGCGCTTCCCTAGGTTTTCGTCCGAGTTGACGCCACATAGGCAAAGTGTGGATCACTATCCACGCTTTCTCAGGGAAACCTGAAACGTGACAGAAGGCGCAGATCACCATCCTTATCTTCCATAAATATCCCCAACTGTCGTCACTCCCCTTTAATTATCACCTCCTCCTCCTCCTATAAAAAACACCTCATACAACTCTCAAACCATAAAAAAACACTTTCCTTCTTACTTTTATTATTCCTTATAACAAGTTTCAAGTGGGTTCTATTATAGTTTTTAGAAAGTAAAAATATTTGTATTGTATTATAATCATTAAATAATGTATTATTTTATTATATTTGATTATGCTAATTTTTTAATGGTTTGCCATTATAAAATGGAAGGCGGGTTGCTGTGTTTATATAATCATATCTCGAGCCATTTCGTGGATACGATAATAATTTGAAATTGTATTATGTTAATTATTTTGAATGATTTATTTTTTTAGTATTAGTTTATATTTTAATTTGTATACTATTTATTTAATTAGGGGAATGAGTCTTTATTAGATCTATTTATTCGTAATGCTAAGTTAGAGATACCAAATCGTGTTTGATCGTATTTAGCCGAGAATGGATTTAGTTACATAGATAGATATGAAGAGCATTGTATCCTTGAATCCAACCTTATTTCTGCTTTAGTCGAGAGGTGGATACCAGAGACACACACATTCAATCTACTGTGTGGGGAGTACACTATCACATTGGAGAATATTTCCTTATATTTGGGGCTTTCGGTAGATGGATATGTCATTTCTCGTGTGGCGGATGGTGATTGACATTCATTTTGCGAGGAGTATCTTAGAGGTATCCCATCAAATTTCAACGGCGGTCAAATATCGTTATCATGGTTGACTACAAATTTTTGACCATTGAGCGATGACAGTTCCGAGGAAGAAGCTAAAATATTTGCCCGAGCTTGTATATTACGACTTATAAAAGGGATCTGGATGCCCGATAAATCTCACAACCAAGTTCATTGTATATGGTTGTGTCACCTAGCCAGTTTTCGAGTTACCGAATTATTCAGTTGGGGCTCCGTAATTGACATCTCTGTATAGAGAAATGTGCTGAGCAACTGATTATCAAAAAAAATTATCGGTTGATGTCTCATGCTTTTTCAGTCATGGCGTGGTATCACATGCCCTTTTTATCTTCGGTAGTGAAGAACCCGTTAGTTTTCTCGTTATTGTTGAGGTAATTTCAATACTAAATTCTTATATAATTAATTTTTTAAATGTATAATGATTTTTTAACACTGAATACGTGTTTATGTGTAAGGAAAGATCATCGAGAAATACCATACGAATTAGAAGAAATTTGACTACTCATTGATTAAAAAACTAGTACACGAGTATGTATTTAAATTTTGTTATTTACATTTAATTATCGATATATAATTAAAATATTATTTTGAAAATAATTATATATATTTATTGTAGTTTCAATGGAGTCCTTATACTACTGACAAAATGAGGCATTGTATCCCACCTAATATGAGTGACCCATTAGATGTATGGATGGCAGTGGTTTATATGATATGTTATGCTATTGACGAGTGATAATTGTTTCAGACGCCATCACCTCTATTTTAGATGCCACCACAAACATGTTCTGATTTAATCACCATAGGGTTTTATGACCCCTTAAGACGGATATTACAGTTCTATGCTTGTAGATCCAGCGTGGGCTTCATATGCATCATATTTAGTGGGTAATGCAGCACCACGCACTCAGACACCTCTAACCCAATTTTTGCATTCACCGATGTCTATGTTTTCACAGTTTTCTATAAGCGGTGAGATGGTTAGTCATACATCTCCAGGGTTCTTATTCTATGAAGGTGGTACATCGTTATATGTCCCTAATCAACAAAATGTTCTGCTACTGATGATGATGATGATTATAGGAATAACAACTTATACGAAGAAACCCTCATCGAAATAGACATCCACAGCCCAGTGGAATACATTCGAGACACATATATCAATAAACTTGTTTAGTTCGTAATGTTTTTGTTGAATTAATATTTTGATATAACAGTAAATTAAAAAATTATTTTTGGACTTTATTGAATTTGTCAAAATTTTATAAAAAAATAATTCAAAGTCCCAATTAACTTGAAAAATATGTTTCAAATGTTTTTTTTACTTAGTCGAACCTTTTAAAATATAAACTCGATCCTTTTCGCGCTTTAAAGTTGAATTTCCAAGGATTTTTGCTCAAATGATCGATCCTATTTAAAAAGAATTGATCCCTTGGACAAAAGTGAGTTTGGGATCGATCCCTTGATGAAAATGATCGATCCCTTACCTTAAAGGATCGATACAACGATCGAAAGTTTTGAAAAAATATCAATCCCTCATGCATTAAATGTTGTTTTTGGTTGTAGGTAACGACTACAACGATCCCCAACGGCTCCAAACTACTATAATTAATGGAGAATGTATAAATTGAATGCCAAAGCTTCCTGAGGTCATCAAGAATTGTATTGAACAAATCTACTAACATCAAAGCTTAGTTTTTTTGTTTAATTTGTAAATTCTTTGTTTTAAACACACTTGTGAGCTACATTGTTTATTTTTCTCAAGTGTAATTTGTGTAAGAGCTTAATTAGTGCAAATTTATTTTCCTTTGTAAGGGTTTTCTCTAGTTTGATAAATTTGTAGTAACTCTCTGGGAGAGAATGTATTCAAGGTTTTAGGGTATAAACCTTGAAGTGTTGGTGAACACAATCTTCACTTGAGTAGCCTATTACTTGAACAAAAATGGAAATGAAATAACACAAGCTGATATTTCAGAAAAAACAATTTCATCGGCACAACATCAATTGTTACGTGATGAAAAAAGATATGAATTTTTTTTCTTATTATGACCTAGGTTTCTACAATGCTCACATCTTTTGTTTTCTTTGGACGTCTCTCGAATATCCATATCATAGTGAATTCGAGTGGATTTTGGATGACATGTTTCCCTTAATAAAGATTGTTATGGTATAATCGAAAGCCAATTCTAAACCTCATATGGGTCTTTCTCATTACCTATGAGGGGAAACTCAAATTCATATACCATAAATACTTGTGAAAGTCGGTATACGAGATCCACAAAATGATTAAAGTCTTACCGGGTATGAGAGCAAGCTTCTATGACATGACAAAATGGATAATTCAGAGCTTGAAAAACCCCACAGTCACACCACTTGTCTTATAGATTAACTCTAAATGAGTTAGCTTCAATCTCTTAAAGAGGTTGTGGCATTTATGTGACACAAAATAATTTACGGGTTCGAGAAAAGCTAGTTAAAGACAATCCGTTTAAAGCAACAATTCTTTTTTGTAGATCTACAACTAATCTTGGGTGATATACATGACCATTTTGCATCCAAGTTTGAGATTGTCCACTGAGCTTGGCAAAAAGTGCTCCCAAACGAAAAAATGTTGTTTTAACCAAAGTTGTAACTGGTAAATGACGTGTTACCTTTAAGGTTAAATTGATAACCTCTACCAAGCTGGTTGTCATGTGTCCACCATCATATGTATTTATCCATATTTCTTTGTTGATGATGCTGATATAATTGTATCCTTGCTCGTTTTCCCTAGGAATTCTTGAAGCATGAACTTAAATGTCTAATATAGTAATTAGTAACCTGAGCGATTTATGTAGTACTTACTGTTAAGTTCACATAAAAAAAATTTTACAGAAATAAAATTAAGAAATATGACATACCCATGTGCACAAGTAATTGATGTTCATCATTCTTCTTGAACTTTCCATGATAGTTCGTAACAATATGTCGGACACTAAAACCAATGTTATAGGGTGGTTATCACATTGGAGTCCATTGATGCTTTGATTCTAACTCCATGATATGAAATGACATATTTTTCCCTCGTGACAACATGTAAGCGTAAGTTTTTGATGAAAAAGCCAAAAAAATTGTATATTCTCCTTCAACAAGGGTAAAAACTAGAAGAATATCAAGATTACCATTTTGAACAATTATCAATAGTAGAACTTACTTGTATTTTCCATACAAGAATTTCCCATCAATCTGGACCACGGACTTACAGTATTTCACAATATTAATGAACTGTATGTAAGTCCAAAATAGATGGTAGAATTGACATCGATCGCGAAGCACTTAATCATTTTTGTACGCATGACAAGTTTCAAAGTCCACTATTGTCTCAGATTCAGTCTGAGTACTATCCTAAACCAACTTGGTAGTTTATTGTAGGATGAATCACACTCACCATACAAATTTTTAATGGCATTCTGTTTTGCCTTCTATATTTTCTTTTAGGATACAGTGTACCCATATTGAGACTGTATAGTTGATCAACACAACAATAGTTATATGGGAACTTGCTTTGACCATGGGCATGATGACAAATAATGTCGGAGTCCAAGTTGGGATGGTTCTGGCTTGGCAATATACTGTTAATTCTCATATGTTATTTTTTTCTCTTCATCTTCGATACACAAACCATCCAGTTATTCGTTATCACGTTGAACACAATAATAGACATACTTTTCGGTAGTGCATCGGTCAACTCTGGAGTGAACAAAATTATGAATGTTGTAATTCTTAATACCAATTATCACTTCTTATATCGATATAAACTCTATTCCATTATATAACTCACAATCATTTACTAATGAGTTAAATCTATAGTCACCAACATTAGCATATCCGTAAATTCTAGCCCGTAAATTATGGCCCGTACATTGCACCATAGTTAGCTTCATACATGTGTGTTGGAGGTTCGGTGTGTACTGTAGTTGTGGGAACTTCATCTACATTATCATCATCGTAGTTTATATTGAGCTGCGGTGATTCTGACTCAACGAATAGTCCAGTCTCAGCACCATCTACACCTGACTCACAAAGAGTTCTTCTAGTGAAGACGAGGGTTCCTTTGTGATTCTAATATTTAGATCGAACAAGCTGGTAGTTGATTGTCTTCCCCTTGAACTTGAAGGCACCGTGTCAAACGAGTTTTAGACTTAGTGTTGTGTCGCATACATCTCGACATTAAGGTTGAAGAAACTCGCAGTTGAATGTCTCCCCTATAACTTAAAGGTATCATGTCAAATGGGTACTGAACAGATTGTTGTGTCGATGACATCCCCATATTGAAGTAAAAAAAATTGGCGGATGAATCCCTCCCTTTGAACAAGAAGCAACGTTGTCATACGGATTGTTCGCGGAGCCACCTCGATAGATATCGTAACAAGTTGTTGATGAATGTCTCCTCATTGAACTTGATGGGATAGTACCATGATGTGAATTTCCCATTATAGCGTTAAAATTATTACACATTATTGTATTTAGGTTGTCAACTTGATCAGCTTATTGAGCCATCCCTTAGTGGGAGCATAATGACATACCACGAACCGTAAACACTTCAACAAATATCACGTACATCTGTGTATCGATGTTTGAATTTGATATTGAGAATCAACCATCATAACAACATTGTAATCGTTTGAGAGTTCGAATGCTGTATAAGTTAATAGAAATACTGATGTTGGAAATATGTACTGATGTGAGGACAATCTTCTAGTACTACCAACATGAACCTTCCTTGAAATTTTAGTGATCAATTTCTCAAGAGTGGTGTTTCTCTTGAAGGATATTATGACATAATGATTTGATACAAATACAACGCTTGTTTCATGTTCCCTAATTTCTCCATCATAGTAAGCAATAGTTGAAATACACCTTAGTTGTAGAGTTTGAAAGTATGAAAGATTTAGACTCTTATATCTTCAAAAACAATATATTAAATACGCATAATTAAATAAATAATATACGAAATTAAAAATAAACTAATGCTAAAACATTTAAAAAAATCATAATAAATTTAATAACACAATTTAACATTATTACCATATCGGGAAAATGTCTCGAGATTTGATCCCTCATTCCATTTTATATCAATACAAAATAAAACAAAATCATTACTAAATTTTTTTTGATAAAATAATTAAATATAAAATAAATATAATATAATAAGAAATAATTTTACCTTCTAAGAACTATAATAAAATCTACTTAGCTTGATAGAAGGAAGAATGTGAAAATAATTTTGGTGTGGTTTAACGTTTGATTTAGGGGTATTTATAGGGGAGTGAGAGGAGTGAGTCACTGAGCTTTAAAGCTCGAGTAATAATAGAGTACCCAATAATTCTAGGTGAATAATGCCAGGCGCGGATCACCAAACGCGCCTTCCGTCCATATCAACAAATGGTTATTAAATCGGTAAAATTTGATCGATGAGTATCTGACAGTTAATTATTGATTGGTTGAGTGCTTTTTGGGTAAAAAATGCCTAAAATATATCACCTATCGAACCATAAAATAGACAACATGAAGCCCAACAAAATAACTGTAGAGGCCCAAATACCCCCTCGGGTTGTAGGGTTATTAGGCGGCTGTGATTCGGATCTTCCTTGTGTCCCACTCCCAACTGATAATTAATAACTGCGGTACCTGTTTATCGATATCCAAAAGATCCCAAAAAGTCTTCGATAAATTCATCCCTTTCCCAGCATCTTCCACTTTCTACTTTGAATCTCTGAAAAAAGTCACTTCCTTTCCCATCTCCGCCTTTGTAAACGCGGAAAAAGCCACATCCGCCAACCATGCCTACCTTAACCTCTCTCAAAAGATCCTCGCCGTCGATTCTCCTCATCCGGCGACGACTCCAAAACCGCCATTTCTCGTCTCAGCCTCTTCCCGAAGCTTCAAACATCAACCCCAACAGTAAAAATGGTTCCTTTGCCAGAACTTTCATAAAATGGGTCTCCGGTGTCGTTGCTGGTTCCAGCTTAGGCACACTCTACTGGTACTCAACTTCAGCTGCGGATTGGGGTTCCGCTCTTTTAAAGAAACCCTTTTTGTCTCTCGATGAATGGTCAATGGGAAGTGCCGATTCCGATGGTTCACAAGGCTTGTTTCGCAAACTAGCCCTCCCTGACTATAGCTCTAAGTTCATCTTTGGAGGTTGTTAGTTTTTAGTCTCAGTCAAGTTTCTCTATCCTTTTTTCGTTTTAATTTGTAGTGAAAATACTTGATTTTACATTTTTCAATTTTCCATTGCAGAGGTGTATAGAAGGAAAGTTTTCTTCAACTATGAGAAGCGGTTAAGATTGCGCAGTCCACCGGAAAAGGTAAATGATTAGTTATTTAAGTTGAATATTTGGTTTTGTCTTTATATTGTAAATAAATGCAGCAGATTATGATTGTTCTTCTAGTTTTTACTGCTTCTTGCATTGATATAGTAATAGCATTCATTTGGTTTTCATTTGATGATGTTATCCTTTGTTTGTTCTTCATAGTATATTTCATGCTTGCAGGTTTTCCAGTATTTCGCCTCTTTTCAAACCCCGGAAGGGGAATTACTCATGAGACCAGCTGATCTGATGCGAGCAGTTGTTCCTGTTTTCCCTCCATCTGAATCCCACCTCGTTAGAGATGGTTATTTGACTGGTGAACGGAGTCCCGGCGAGTTACGATGCGATCCGTCGGAGTTTTTCATGCTTTTCGATATGAACAATGATGGACTTATATCTTTCAGAGAGTAAGTGAGGTTGATATCCCGCATCTACATGGACTTATATCTTTATTTGGATGATACAAGCTCTTGAATCATTTCTATGGAGCAGGTATATCTTTTTTGTAACATTACTCAGCATTCCCGAGTCGAGCTTCTCCATAGCATTCAAAATGTTTGATGCAGACAACAATGGGTGATATGATGAACTAGTGGTGTTTCATGTTTGCTTCCTTTTCGATTTTATCTTTACATGTAAGTGATTGACTATAAATGCATGCATGCAGTGAGATTGATAAGGAGGAATTTAAGAAAGTGATGGCTTTGATGCGAGCTAATAACAGACTAGGGGCAGTCCACTGCGATGGACTTCGCTTTGGTTCGTTAAAACTTGCTGGTCCGGTGGAGGATGGAGGTCTGGTGGAATATTTCTTTGGAAAGGATGGAAAGACACGCCTCAAACATGATAAATTTGTTCAATTCATGAGAGATTTGCAGGATGAGGTGAGGTCCCTTCTTCCCGGTCTTAACGATTCCGTAATCATTTTCGTTAATGGTAGTTGTGTTTTGTAGATGCTAAGATTAGAGTTTGATCATTATGACTACAAAGGCCGAGGAACCATATCGGCCAAGGATTTTGCATTGTCCATGGTTGCTTCTGCTGATATGAGTCATTTAGATAGGCTGCTTGAGCGAGTCGATGAACTAAATGACAAGCCGCATCTTAAGGAGATTCGAATCAACTTGATCGAATTCAAACGATTTGCTGAGCTGCGTAGAAAGTTGCAGCCTTTTTCTTTGGCACTTTTTAGTTATGGGGAAATTAACGGTCTACTGAAAAAGGATGACTTCAAACGAGCAGCATCTCATGTAAGTCTTTAGGTGTTCTAACATTATATTCTTACCTTGTTCCATCATTATCCTTTATCACATTCTTTTCAAAATTTCTTAGTAAGAAACATTGCTGTTTAGTTTGAATTTTGAGAATCTGCCATGCACAAGGATTGCCAATTCCGAATACCAGACTTTTTGCGGTAACGGTCCTGATCAGGTAGGTGATCTATGCATTTACAGGTTTGTGGCATCTCTCTTACAGACAGCATTGTTGAGATCATTTTCCATTTGTTTGATTCGAACCGCGATGGGCATTTAAGCTCAGATGAGTTTGTTAGAGTTTTACGCAAGCGCGAAAGGGATATCGCTCAACCCGTGGAGTCGGGAATCTCGGGACTTTTATCTTGCTGCTGGAACTGTTCAAATGAGAGCGCCATTGGACAGGTCAAAACATGATGGACTTCAACATATCGAATTTGCTTCAACCAAGGAGCCTCTGGTGTCTCAACTGTTGAACCTGTTATCAGCTGCACTTATGTCACAGCTACAGAATGTTCTTGTGATCCGAAGCCGGGAAAATACCTGCCGGTGGAGGCATTATCGGTTACTTAATCAAGTGGGGTATATCGGCAATTTGGTTTATTCATCAGTATGTATCGTGATCAGAAGCTTTTGCAAATCATGAATTTATACAAGGTGGATGGGCTTAAGAGGTGTTCCATGTTTGTATATTGCCTGCATATCCTTGCCTTGGGGCTTTGCATGCTGTTTCATACTGGTTATTGCCTTGTTTTTGCTTGTACATGACAAGTTTCTACAGGTTCTAAACTGTTGGTTGAACGTTTCTTATGGTATATTAATAATAAATTTGTTTTGGACTTTTAGTGCCCTCAGTCGGCTAATTTTTTTTGGGTAAATTACACCAATCATTATTGAATTTTATTCTCTCTTCTATTTCACTCATTATATTTTAAATCTGTTTAATTTTCTTATTGAACTTAATATATATATTTTTTGTCCACTCCGTCGTTTTCTCACTAACGACGTTATAAATTGACTGTTATATAGATGTAAAATGATGTCGTTTTGCTAAACATTTTATTTTTTTAAAATGGTGTCATTTTTATGTTGTTAACTATTTAAATGCGGAGGGACGAAAAAATCAAATGAATCAAGTTCAGTGAGGAAATTGAACGGATTTAAAGTACAATGAATAAAATAAGAGAGATAGAGTAAAATTCAATAATGATTGGTGTAATTTACCAAAATTGTTTAGATTTTGTTTGGGGTTTAGGGTTTTCTCATTTTTTTAGTTTATTATTATTGTGGTTTATTTTTTTTAAAAAAGTAAAATTTAGAATAAAAGTTACTTTAAAGAAGATATTTTACCATCCACTTTGTTTCAATGTTCATCGCACTTAGCCTTACCTAAACATATAAGTGGATCAAATTTTAGATGACCTAATCTAAGAAATGGGTTAGGGATGAACGTGGATCGGATTTTTGATGACTTAATCTATGAAAATTATTGGCTCCACTTATAATCCGACACAATCTGGATTAGGGGAAATTTTATTTAGCCAAAATGCAACTTATTTTTTTAGGTAAAACTTAACTTGATCAATATATATATTTGATAATATAAAGATTTAATTGAAAAAAATACAAAGAGAAATATTGTTACAATTGTCTCTAAATATATAAGGGAATAATTTATACTATTATAGTTCGGGTTGAATATTATTTATTCTAAACTCAACCCCAAATTTAATTATTTTTTTGTTAAATTACCCTATAAAATAAAATCAAATCATTTCAAAGCTCGTTAGATCCAAATCCTAACCCTTTTATTAGGTGAGGGAAACTGAGACCAACTCATTTCAGAGTATCATAAACTGAATTTGTTAGGATAAATTACGCATTTAATACTTAAACTATCAATTTTGATCTGTTTTATTGTTTAAATTTTTAATTTTTTTAAAAATCATATATAACATTTAGTTCTTGTTTCATTTTAGTACAACGATTAAAAATTAACGTTACTTTTTGAAAAAAATTGAAAGTTTAGATACTAAAACGGTAAAAAAATTATTGTTTAGGTAATAAACACGTTAACTTTTTAACGGTGTGGTACTAAAATGAAATAAAAATTAAACATTAACTATGATTTTTAAAAAAATTGAAAGTTTAGATACTAAAACAGATTAAAATTGATAGTTTAGATACTAAATATGTAATTTATCCATAATCCATTTAAAACACGAGAAAGAGTATTACGCAGTCTAGGGTTTGTTAGTGGGCTTCTATGTTAGCCAAAATCTGGGTCGAGCTCATTCTCTATAAAGAGTATCACGCGGTTTAGGGTTTGAGCTCTAAAGCTCTTTTATTCGGCGTCTCATTCAGCTACCTTGTTTCATTTTCTCTTCCGTCAATTTCATTTTTGTATCTTTAAAAGACTGGGATCTATGCTATGAAGATAACTCCTGCAATGGGAATTCGATTGCGCGATTTGTTTCATAGCAAATCAGCAAGATGATTCCTTTATATTTCCGGTTCGTATTCACCGAGCATCGTTCCCCTTTCGCTTTCGGTCTATTATTTTGTTCTGTTAATTTATTTGGTTTCAAACATCAATTTTCTGGTTGGACAATCGAAGGACCTATGGATTGAGTGCGAAAACGATGCACTCAAATCCAAGTTTGCCTTCGGAAATCGATGTTGAGATTGGACGATCCGGGTCGATTCCATTTTCGGGTCGGTATGTTATTTGGGTCCGATTTTCCAATATTTCATAGATGTTGAACCAAAATGGGAATTTGAGTGGCGAAGGTCCCAGCAGGGAGGTGGGAACTCTTATGAATTGATTCCTCTCTAACAAATTATCCGAAAATGCCTTCGCATATCCATTTTTGCCGATTCGTAGGATGCCCGATTACTCCATTTTTGGAGCGTCTTGAACCCTCGGCTACATTCTACTTTAAGAGGCATTTTTAAAAAGAAATTGAATGACTATTTCGTAATATTTACAAATTTTAAAGACCAATTTTTTTACTTTTGTAATTTTATTTTGGTTAAAATGCATTAGAGGTCCTTGTATTTTTGAAAAAAAGTTAATGTGATATTTGTTTTACTTTTTCTTGAACTTTTAACTCAAAAAATAAATTTAATGTGTCATTTGACTAAACTCAATGCGTCATTTTACTAATATTTTTTATCGTTTTATGGTGCTGAAGTAACAATTTACGTTCTTAATATGGTGATTATATTTAGGCAAAAAGATAACAGAGGCCCTTGAACTTTAAAAAAAACTAATATGACCCTCCACCTTCAAGAAAGAATTCAATATAATCCTTTGATCAATATTTTTTGTCTTTGACCAATATCTCCCTTACTTTGTGCTGGCACATCAAGTAGTTCAACATCATATTTTTAGCGATCAATTTGATCTTTCAATTCACAATATAACTCAATGTGACCCTTTGATTATGTTTAATGCTATTATAAATGGAAAAATTACATCATTCATCACTCAACTATTTTCTTTCTCCCTTTTAATCACTAAACTTTAAAAGTTTTCAATTTTAATCCCTCAAATTACTTATATTTTAATCATCATGATTTATTTTATTAATATTTATGTGTGATATGACATTCATTATTCTTATTTTATTAATATATAATTAAAATAATATGAATTAAATTAAAATTTTAAAATTGTGATTAAATTAATTATCATAAACATTTTTAATCAAATGGGGTTTAAATTATCTTATTCTTCATATTTTTTGGAAAACTCAATTCTCGGCTAGACTATGTTGCATCAACTGTGGCTCACCAGCAATGGAGAATATAAAGTTAGTCTTTTCCGAGAGTTTATAATTTTGGCAATATTTTTTTATTTAATCACAATTTTGAAATTTTAATTTAATTATAATTTTGAGAATATTTTTTGATTTAATCAATTTGTGGATAGCCGTCGCGGTTCGTCGGAATCGAGCCATTGAAGTTTCGCCAAAAACCCACCCAAATGTCTCGGATTTTGGACGATTTCGGTCGCCTCACCGCCACCATATTTAGCTTCCTCGTCGTCATCCTCTCAAAACCCAACCGGTTGGTAGTGTCGTAGTCGTTGTTCTTGCCGTCCGCTGTTTGGGTTTTTTTTTTTGTAATTTAAACGAAATATGGTTTTTTTTTATAAATATAATATTTATTTTTAAAAAGTAATTTTTAAAATTACCAAAATGTGACATGTGTCACTTAACGGAGAAAACTAACGATATGTCACGACGTGACCCATTTTGAGTAACGGAATAAACGTTAGACACCAAACTGAAACGAAAAAAAATTAAACTCTAAACTATAAAAACAGACATACATTGGACACCTTTTTTATATTTAAGTCTATTTGAAGTCCAATTAGGTTAGACTCCTAAATAAAGAGCAAAGCTCTCTCAATGTTCTTTCATTTACAAAATAAAATTTCAACTCCATATTTTACTTGAAAATTAAAAAATATTATCAATTTTTTATCAGTTAATAAACAACTATAAATCATTTTTATGTTAAATCAATAGTCTCTCAAATTATTTTTTTTTTAAAAATTGATCTCTAAAAATTGATCTCTAAATTATTTAGAGTAAAATGCACAAATGATCCCCTGACTATAGGATATTACTTTATTAAGTTAATCAACTATTAAAAGTTTTAAAATTGTCATCTAACTATATAACGTTGCTTTGTTAAGTCATGCACCTAATAAAAGTTACAATATGATCACTCGACTATTCATTATGTTTTAAACTCATCATTTTTTGTTAAAAAATTGACAGCTGTTTAAGTTGGACTGAGATATAATAGTCATTTGAGATTCGAATATCAAATTTTATCATATCACAATCAACAAGTTAACGTTAAGCTCAGAATACCGTCATTTATAGTGAAAATGGATGAGTTTGAAATATAATGAATAGTTGGTGACCATTTTGTAACTTTTAATAGTCGAATGACTTAACAAAACAACAATCTATAGTCAAAAAGATCATTTTGTAACTTTTTAATAGTCAAGACTTAATAAATCAATATCCTATAATTGAGGGACCTTTTGTGTATTTTACCCAATTATTAATTCATAATATTTTTTTAGAGAAAATAATCTCAGTGACCAAAAATGCCTTATAATATACGATTTTAACCAACTTTTTTTGGTTTTGCCAAAATGACCAACTAAATCGCAATGCGATCGATAATTCGCAACGCGATCTCCGGTATCGCAAATCAGTTTCCATATTCGCAACGCGAACTTCGACTATCGCATTGCGATTTACATATTCGCATTGCGATAGTCCAAGTTCGCGTTGCGATTTATTCCAAGTTCGTTGCGATAGTCGAAGTTCGCTTTGCGATTTATTCCAAATTCGTTGCGATTTATTCCAAGTTGCGATTTATTCCAAATTCGTTGCGATAGTCGAAGTTCGCGTTGCGATTTATTCCAAGTTCGTTGCGATAGTCCAAAATCGCAACGACGGTATTGCATTTGTTTCTTAAGAATTTTCTCTAAAAATATAGTATTCGCGCGGACGTGTCGAATACACGTATTACCACGACCACGACCCCGACCCGAGACGAGACGGACGGCGGTGGCGGCGGCGCGCGAGAGTCCCCCTTGTTCTCTATCACTCAACAAGGAAGTGAGAAAGCCAAGCCTTAAATAACATTCTCAATAGTGTTTCCAATACTATGTGAGATTGAGCATTACCAACACTTGTTCCCTAATACTATGTGGGATTGAGCCTTAAATAGTGATATTACTTTTGAATGTTTTGCTTAAAATTGCAATAATCACGATTGATTGTAGATTGACATTTAATTATGACATATTTAATCGTATAATACTAATGCAATTGGTTGCTGATTCAGTTGTTTTAAGGTGCATGATTGTTAATTGTTTCTTGAATAATCACATTGTATTGGAAATAAGTGTTGGTAATGCTCAATCCCACATAGTATTGGAAACACTATTGGGAATGGTATTTAAGGCATGACTTTCCCACTTCCTTATTGAGTGATAGATAGGGATGGCAACTCAACTCAACCCGAATCCGACGGGTTCCGACCCGACCCGACCCGATCGGGTCGGATTTTTTTAAAAAAAAAATCGGGTTCAGGTCGGGTCGGGTCGGGTTTTTTTTAATGCACTGTTCGGGTCGGGTCGGGTTTAGGGTAAAAAAAAATCCGACCCGACCTGAAAAATATATATAATTTTATCTTATATATTTAGGGATAATTACAATAATAATATCCCTTCATATATAATTTTTTCAATTAAGTCACTGTTTTCATTGAATTAAAATTTTTTTTTATTTCGGGTCGGGTCGGGTTTCTAAGTCATATATTCGGGTCGGGTCGGGTCGGGTGAAACATTAATTTTGTCGGGTCGGGTCGGGTCACGGGTGGAGAACCCTTTCTTCTCGGGTCGGGTCGGGTGGCCCAAAAACCCGACCCGACTCGACCCATTGCCATCCCTAGTGATAGAGAACAAGGGGGACTCTCGCGCGCCGTCACCGTCCGTCTTGTCTCGGGTCGTGGTCGTGGTCGTGGTAATACGTGTCTTCGAAACGTCCGCGCGAATACTATCTTTTTAGAAAAAATTCTTAAGAAACAAATGTAATACCACCAGTCGTTGCGAATTATCGATCGCATTGTGATTTAGTTAATCATTTTAACAAATCGTATATTATAAGGCATTTTTGGTCAATGAGATAATTTTCTCTATTTTTTATTTATGTCATAGTAATATCTAAGTTAAGAAATTAATGCTCACAAATAATCAAATTTTAGTCATTTAATAAAGTAAAGGAAAATCATGCATGTTTCCTGATTAATAACTCAAAAGGAGACAAGCCAAGGGAATCTATCGGTGTCAAATCTAGCTGTCATCCATAACTCCAAGACCGACAGTCATTTTATCACTGACCTCAAGCACTTTAATTTGAGCCATATTCTGGATAATAATTAATAATATCTTCAAAACCCTAATTTAAACCCCCAAAATGTCAAAAACCTAATTCAGTCTATAATTTTATCACTTCAATTGGGGTTCCTTTCTCAAGATTTCTCGCTTCTCCGCCTACGATATGTCAAAGGTCATGCTAGCGGAAAGTTTACCCAGGAAAGGTGCCGTTTTCGGCAGCTCCGTGGGCTTTGTACTGCAAGCTATGGTTGTTCAGACCGCCATTGTTGCTACAAAGTCTGCCGCTTGGTTGCTCATGATGGTAAAATTCTCTTTCCCCTTTTCCCCCTTCTAATTTACCTCAAATTTCGAATTTTCAATTTTTTCCGGATCAATGGTTTGAGGAGTCTTTGCTTTATAAGGATTTATTACTTTCCTTGAATTGTTGGGAAATTGGCAATTTTTCTGTGATAATTTGATTAATAATCTTTCTAAATGCTAGAAATTTTGTTACTTTGCCTAACAGCTTGTCTAGAGTATTTTGATTCTCATATTTTCTTAGTATAGTAGTATAGTGAGATGTCTTAGGAAGAACTTAATTAGGTTTTTTATAGGGGAAAAGACTGTAAAAGGTTAAAGGTACTATAAGTTTGTGAAAGCATCGGGTGAGTTAAAATGAAATTTTAAAAAGTACTTGTTTGTTTGGGAAGTATATTTGTAATTCATGTGGAATGGGTAAAAAATCGTGTTTCCGATCACAAACTGCACTCGAAAAACTTTTGTTTTGCTGCTGCTCAGCATGAGTTGGGTGTTTTTCTCCAGATGGGAACTCTGCCTAATGGAATTGGTGTCTTCAATCAAGAGCCTGAGGCATATGCAGGGTTAGTTGCATTAATTGTTTTGTCTAACTCTTTCTTGTTCTTCTTCTGTGGAATGGGGCAAATGGTGAATTTTCTTTTGTAGGTTTCCGCTTACTCAGCTTATCGGAATGACTAAACCTGGTCCCGAGAACAAGGATGCCAGTGACACTGAGGACGACGATGATGAGGATGAAGATGAAGCTGTGGATGAACAAGATGAGGATGCAGGTGAGGAGGAAGATGAATCTGGTGAAGAGGAAGGGGATCCAGAGGATGAACCCGAGGCCAATCGTGATGGTGGCAGTGGAGATGATAATGGGGACGACGACGACGACGATGATGGTGACGAAGATGACGACGACGAGGGAGAGGAAGAGGAAGAGGAGGAAGAGGATGAGGACGAAGAGCTTCAGCCACCAGCTAAAAAGCGGAAATGAGCTTGGAGCTTCTCTTGTTTTTTTTTTTTTTAATTTTTCCTTGCTGAGGTTAGGGGTATGGTGTAGTGGGAGGTTATTATGGTGTCTAAGTTGAATTAGTTCTGATATTTCTGCAAATCAAACTTGTTTAATATTTCCCTGTATGCAATTCTGGTATCATTATATGAGCTCTGCTTCACAAAGGATGGATTCATCTTGCAAACTGGATTCAAGGTCTCATTAGCACCCTGAGAAAGAAAAGTGAAATAAAGCTCTTCGAGACCTGCTAATCGATCATCTTGCTAATAAACCTGCAAATGCTTATGCAGAGGATAGTGATTTAGGGGCCAACCGGCAATAACCAAAAACAAACGCAAACCTAAACACAGTTGTGGTTGCTTTAATGGGGGAAATATATTATATACCATAAAACCATTTGCCGGCAACTCTTCAGCTGATATAATTGTTACTGATAGTACTCTTCTGAACAACTTGTAATCTTGTCGAGGTCAACAACCTCCGTTTCGGCAGTCGCAGTTTCTCTGATGACCCCAATGAAAAATCGGGGTGAATGGAATGTATATTCATTCGAGAAATGCCAACCTTGATAGCATCAGACATCGCTTTAAGGGTAAAATCAAGATCTTTCTGTAGAAAGAAGCATATGATTATGATATCAAAATAATATTTAGTGGCTTCATGCGAACAGATAAATTCATATAAACAGATTCTAAGCAATAGTAAATAGATTCGTTACAACATATTTTATCCTTTGGAGCTTCTTGTTTCGCATAATTTGTGAGGTATACATTGTGAGATGATCAGCAGTTTATTCTTGTTCATTAGTATTGAACCATTGGTAAACATAAAAAAGAATATTCATACTTGCCTCCTCTCTCAAGGAATATGAAACAGCTCCAAAACTAGGGAACTGATCAACCTAGATGAGCAAGTTAAAACATAAGATAATACCTTCAATGGAGTACAGAGTTAATAAATATTATGGACTGGATATAGATGTAACTTGACTTCCGGCGTTGAGAAAAGACGACCCGAGGTGGATAAAACTCCGGTGGAAGGTTTTTTCTTATATCTTGCACTGTCATTCTTGAAAATGAAGAAAAACTGAAGTATTTTCTTCAAACCCAAATTGCTCCTTCATGTCATCCTTATATCAAACATGCATTTGCATGGTTACCTTTCCTTCTTTTTTTTTATGAAAATTGAAGCAAAGAGTTAAGTAAAAGGCATTTCCAACTGTTAGTCCTATCGGAAGTGGGAAACGGATCTATCTTTCTCTTATCGTCTCTTTCTCCACTCAGCTGGTATCCAACTGATGTACCAGTAACAGAAGACCCAAAAGAATTTCGAAAAAAGGGACATCTCTGTCAAGCATGGTTAAACCAAGGCCCAACGGCACCGTTCACATGACCGTTGCTGTGTATCCCTACACCATTGGGGAACAGAGAAGGCGGCAGACCAACATCTATTGGTGACTGTGGTGTTGTAGGGTATAACCCGTGACTGTGTGGTATGGTCTGCGGACTCAGAAGCGGACTTGCTGGACTTCCTTTATGCTGCTGGAGATCGTGGATTTGCCTCAGCCCTTCCTCGTGAATCCTTGACAATGTTTCCAACTCTTTCATGGACAGAGCTTCCAAACCAGCACCATAGAGCGGGGCATGCTGTGACATTTCTTCGTGAAGTGAGGCTTCAAGGGTGTGAATGTATTGCTGCAGAAGAAGAGACACAAATGAGAAACGTAAATCATTCGAGTTAGACTTTGTAAGGTCGCAACTTTTCATGAGAGCCCAAAAATGATGGATTCAGATGCAAACTAGACACATTATGACAAGTTCAATAATGATTATGAAATAGAAAAGGCAGTGTGTAGAGTGAGGAAAAAACTTGCACGCCTGCAACTTTGATTCCATGCCATCAATATATGCTTCACACCTAGCAACCTGCTCTTCCTTTTCTCGCTTTTCACCTTCGGTTGCCCCACTGTTTGTGTCAATCTTCGAACCTCATCCTCAAGTGACTGGTGAATTTCTTCTCGAATCACATTCTCTGCGGCATACCGTTTTAATTCTTCATCAAATCTTTTACTTGCAGCTTCAGCCCTCTTCAATCTTTCAGCAAGAGCATTCTTCTCCTTCACTACCTTCTATCATATAACAAAACTTGTCAGATAGCAGTCAACACAAACCAGCACAATAGCAAAGAGGGAACACATTAATCATAGCAAGTACCTTCAACTAATCACGTTTCCGAGACTTCAAGTGGGAGAGTTGCGCTTCTGCATAATGAAGACGACCTTGAAGTGCTTTCTTCTGAGCAGTGAGTTTTGCCTCATCATCCCTCTCTGAACGGAGCCACTCAAGTTGACTTTCAACCTCATGTATTTGTTCAGAAAGTTCCATCTTTTCCCGAGCAAAGCGATCCATGTCAGCCTTCATTTCGGACTGTCAATTTACATAATAGGTTAATTTTACGAACTTCCTGAATCATAAACCTTTCAGAAAATAAAAGATAAAAAATAAACCTTATCGTTAGTTTAAGACATGTACCTTGAGTCGGTTATTTACAGCTTCAGATTCACTTATATTCTAGGATAGAGCAGCTTTTTCCTTGGCCATATTAGAAATTCCAACCTCTGTCTCTTCACGAATGCCGATAATTGTATCTTCACTAGAGCATAACTGATGCCAAAGTGCTGCCCGATCAACATTTGCAAGCTCAACAACTTCCCGCATATTGCTGAGAACAGGTCTAACAATTTCTTGCTCCTCAGAAACCAAAGTAAACAAAATATCAAAATCTAAGTCTACTTCACGACTATTTTCAGTAGTGCTGGTGGCACAATCAACAAGTCTCTTCAGCAGCCTCACTCGGTAGGACTCGTCGACATACCACTTGAATACTATTGTATAAAACATCTTCACAAAGCCCCTGACACGAAGGTCTATAGAGAGAGCCAATGTCTCGGCAAGACCCAGAAGTGAAGTGAAATCGTCCTGTTGAACACTATGCTGTTCACTGGCCTCTCCCTCTACTGCAGCATCCTCATGCTGAAAACTTTCAGCAACGTATCTGGCATTACGATTGAGCCCATGGGCTAGACGCCTTTCCAAAACCATGTCTACCAACTGAGCCACAAAGGCTCCTCGAGCCACAGCTCTCTCTAATGTTTGAGAAGCCTTAACAGCAAGACAAGGCATGGACAGCATCTCAACCAGGACATAAAAATCGGAAAAATGCTGACAATCACAAAAGGCCTGCTCATCCGACACATTCAATCTTTCAGGAGGAGATCCATTTTCACCAAACAATAACCCACAAGGCATTGCTGAGCTATTTTCAATGAAATCTTCATCACAATCAATATCTCTTATCAATCAATATCTCTTAGTTATTAACAATCTCAGCAACATCACCCCAGCTATTTACAATTTTACTTAAAAAATCAAGAACACAAGGAGACACCTCTAGGCCCAAGTTATTTAGCCTGACACGAACAGATCTAACCTACAGAAGAGAACAGTAGTAGTTATATATGCCTCCCAAAGTTAAGTTGACATGCTGAAAAAAATGATGAACAAAGAAATCAAACCGTACTGCTTCTGGAAGATGTTGGCATTGGGATGCAGCTTTAAAGATGAAATATATGGTTGCAACCAGAGGTTCATCACTTGAATCAGCCAAGAGCTCAAAAGATTGAAATAAGACACGTTCCCACACTTCGCCATCACATTCTAGTTGACTGAGGGGTCCAAATACCTGAAATGGAAGAATCGTCATCAACTTATTAATGTAAACATATAAATTTTACAGACGAAGAACTGTTCGGAAACAATACTACATTTTTTTATAAGAAAGGGAGTCCTCATTAAAAAAACCCTTCATAGTATCTCAACAGACATTGAAAAGAGGAAAAGAGTGCCTCAGAGATTTTATTACAAAAACAAAACAAAGTACACTTACAGGAGCCTTACAATCCACAACACAACTTAAACCATGAAAAACTACCTCCTAACAGAAAACAGAACATGTCAACTACAACAATCCCTTACAAAGCAGAACCCAAACACCAAACACAACGACCAAAACACACAAACAAGAGAAGGCAACACCCCTGAAACCCATTAGCCAATTCCAAATTTGGCTAACTCATCCGTCTCCCAGTTCGCGCTTCTCGGAGTGGGCCTCAGAATAACCTTTTTCCAAGATATATGCTGAAATTTCCTTCACCGACGAGCAGAAAAGAGAACACGACCCCGGATTCTTTATCCACTCAACAACTTTAGCACAATCAGTTTCCAAAATTAGGCAGCCCTTGTTGCACCAGACTGAATCCGCAAAAGGCCAATGTTCAGAAACTCCCTTATTTTCTTAGAGTGCATCCAAGTGACACAACCCATAAATACCACTTCAGTAAAGAAATTAAGTCATCAACAACAACAATCTTACAGGTATTTGCAAATCTGGATCAGCACCTGACTTTTAAAGTTGATCAAGTAGAGCAAAAGCAGCCAATGGATTCTCTGAATGCTCTACCAATTTAGGCACCAATGCGACTAGGTCAGGTTGCAGATTCTTAGGAGCTTTATCCAGTACAAGGGCAATCTTTTGTGCGGACTGCGGCCTCCGCCTGGGCTCAGGACAGCCTTGTGGAACTGCTCCATCTAGGGCTCTCAATGAATTGACGATCAACCCTAAAAGCTCCTCAAATTGCTCCAAGCACTTGGTCTGGAAACTCAAATTATTCAAGTAGTCAATAGATGATTAATAATCAAGTGAGCCAATGTTATTTCCAAATCAAACCTTTGACCGAAGCGAGTAATTCTCAAAAGAACTCCCAGCATAGGTTTCTGGTGGAGAAGTAGGATTACCAGGAACAGCTTTTCCAGAGAAATCAATCCCATTCATGTCAGAACTTTGTACAGCAGAGGTAGTGCTACCATCATTCACAAAAGAATCGACTCTTTCGTACATAGGAAATTGAGAACATTCAGCAGATCCATTCTCCCGTTCGCGATGAAATGTTCTAGCAGCTTTGTCACCATCAGAAGGTTTTAAATTTGCATCTGAAGAATCGGCATTAGCACCTCCTTCTGAGGGCTGTCAACATTCAACCATTATATCCAAAAGCAGATCTATAATTGCTTGCTGCAAAACTTTAACACGCATTAGCAAATTCATCAAACTCGGTGAAGATTCATCAGTCTCTGAAACCTTCTTCCCATCACCACTACCAGAAAGCTTTGTTGGAAGCAGCCAACGTTTTACCTTAGCCAGGTCATCAAGGTAAACGGGAAGCCCAGTCAGAAAACCAGCAATTGTCCCAGCATCCATCAGAAGCTACTCTCGTAAAGTAACCTGCGGTTGCGATGGATTTTCTCCATAGGTAAGGTGAAATCCAGCTCGGGAAAGAAGGTTTCTAAAGATATCTTCTTCATCTCCACTTATTCCTTCACTGTCTTCAGAAGCAATGAGTTCGTCTGGATCAGTAGTTAGAGCATCCTGACCATCCTCAGAAGCCAAAACCTGGCATAGTGGAGAGAGAAAATAATAAATGCTCATTAGATATATGCTAAGAAAATAAATCCCATTCCACACTGCTAAGAAAAGGATATAATGGGGAAACTTATGGTAGCTTTTACTAGTTCCTTCCAGGTTCAATGAAAGTATTCAGGGCATTGCAATCAAGAGAGTGATTCAGTAAACATAAAAGAGCATTTGCACGCGAGAGAGTACCTCAGAAGAATCAGAGGACAATATTTGGGAAAGAATCAAGTTTACACAACATTCAGGGCAAGCCATAAACACTTTAGTAGGGGCATTTAATACAAAAGTATATATATCTCGTTTCTCTACCATAATTTCTGCGATAAAACAGAATACTAACATGTAAATCTGAAAAATAAAAAATAAAAACTTATTCCGTGAATAATAAACATCACATAAATGGAAGAGATCTAAATGTGACCAACCTCAAGATCTGAAAACTCAAACCAAGGGCAGCAATCCAGTATTTCACAAACAAAAACAACGGCATCACGCACAAGGAACCCTGCATCTGCTTCTAACATATCCGATATTTTCATGAATTGCAAAACAGAATTATTCCATGTCTTTATACAAATGGAAGATTCTTTCCGGACAGTCTTGGCTGGGTTTCTCTGATTCATGATGGCCATTCTGTATCTAACCCAGAAGTTTTTGTCTGGATCACTACTAACTGACTGGTCGCTCTCTAAGTATATACATATAGTTTCAAAGGACTCATATACACCTGAGTCATGAGAAACAATCAATTAATCAACACAAACAGTTACACAGACATATTCAATGGAGAATTGACAGGAAATAATCACCTACCAATCCGAAGCTCACATCCACCAGCTTGAAAAAAATTGCTAAAAATCTTGCGATTTTCCATTATTTCCTTGAAAGATAAGAAGTTCTCCACCTTCCAAGTGATTGCACTTCTCTTTCCAATACTTCCTATCTGGGAAGCAGTATTTGCTGACTCAGTATCCTGACCAGTTAAATCCTGCATTGTTGATGTCTCTTTCAGTATAAGAACCTCAGCAGAAAATAGTTGTATGTGGTGTTTCGAAGGTAAGAGAGGGGTGCACCGTATTCTAACCTGCACCTCGCCGTACCTTTCACCTTCCCTTTCTTCTTTTGGGTAAAATACAAGAAGGTCACTCAGTTATATGTCTAGTAATAAATAAATTATTTTTATTAAAGTTATAATTTAGTCAATTCATTTAAAATATATTACAAATATGTCATTAACTATTAAAATTGAAATAAAAATTTAGTATGATTTGGTATAATAATAGTTTAGTACCTAATATATATATTTACATTTTTTCATAAAATAAATTGTTACTATACCAAAAAACTCAATAATAAAGTAATATAACATTTTTAGGAGAACAAGTAGTTTAAGTAGGAATAAAAATTAAATTTATAGAAATTTTAAGAAAAATAGATGATTCATTGAATTGTTCAAATAATAATAAATCAATATAATATATAAATTTTGAGAGTGAACAATCAATGACTTATTTATAATAATATTTTATTTTAAGGACTAAATTGTAATGTTTATAAAAAATTGAATCATTTGTCACATAATTGAGTGATATGAGGGTGTATTCTGCCCTTTTCTTTTTTCCTACCCTGTACGCTGCGTTTAGCGAATGTTTGTGATTATCCACTGCGGTGCGGTGCAGCTGAAGAGGATTTTCGCTGGTTTATGGGCCCACAGAGAACGCACATGACGTATGGATGCTTAGAGTCCATTGGGCAACGTGTCACATTGTCAGAACTTTGGGGACCCATACTCCTCAGTACATTCTCTTTTATTTTTTTTATTTTTCGTAATCGACGGCTAAAATTCTTCTTTTAGTTGAAATTTTGTACTGGATAAAGTATGAACGGCAGGGATACTTTAATTAACTAAATTAAATATCAACGTAAAGCATATTATCTTTGACTCGCTTGGACCATAAATATAGTGGCAATGAATTAATTCAATTGTCTTATCTTTACTAAAATAAGGGTAAATTACAAATTTGATAATTGAATTTTACTATCTCTATTTTACTCATTGTACTTTAAATATTTTCTCGTTGAATTTAATGCATTATTTTTTGGCCATTTGACCGTTATATAATTAACAACGTTAAAATAAACTATTATATAGATGTAAAACGACGTCATTTTGGTGAAAATTTTATTTTTTAAAACGACATCATTTTTAACATTATTACTATTTAAAGAATGATCAAAAGGAAGCATTCTTTCAAAAGGAGAAGATGGGTTATAACTTTACAAAACATGGCCCTTATGGCACATACAATTTTTCAAATGAACCCTAGATTGTCAAACAAGCATAAAGGTCCAACTTTCTTCAAAATTGACTATTTTCGTCCCTGAAATGTCCCCTTTTAATTCATAAACACGTACGTTACAAAACAACTGGAATTGAAACTTAAGAATGCCGCATCAATAGAATATAAGTTCGGTTTAAGGAAAACATAAACTGGAATAGGGAAATGACCTACCTCCCGCACCATCATCAGCCATACCTGGCGACTGTGTTGGCGTTTGTCGGCGCTGCCCTGAACTCCGTCAGCATCTCCGATCCAGCGTGACCAGCACTTACCGTATCACCATCTAAAGTCGAAATTCTCCCTATAGTTCAAAATAGAAAAGCATACAATTACTAGAATCAAATAGTATAATCACCTATACAGAACCATTTACAGATCTAATCCCACCTTTGTGCTATACCCTATGCTAAGCTTAGTTGTATATTGACAACATCAATAAGTCTAAATTTTATATCAGAAAATTTTATTCGGACAGTCTCTTTTTTCTCAACAAGAATCGTTTGTTCAACTCTTTGAGTTCTTCCATGAAATCGTCCACTCTGTCCCTCCATTTTACGCCTATAAAAGCACTTTAAGCCATCAAAATAATAGACAGCAATGTTTCGACTTTCAACTTTTTACAAGCCCATTTCAGCTCTTTTTGTCACCTAATACAGGCCTCTGAAGGCCACCAAGTAGCATAATTCCTCCATATTTCTTTTCGGGCAATTACATTTTTTTATTAATTTAGGACAAGTTCAAGGCAGTATTGTTCAAAAATAATTATCAATTATTTGACATTGAACGCTCACACCCTAACATCCCGATGCTCGAACTTAAAACCTCAAAAATAATAACAATTCCTTTATCCCTAAGGCCGCTTGGTTCATGTGGGACAATTACATCTCAAATTTTATTAGGTTACATTCACTTCAAAAAATAAGTTCAGTAATTATGTCACAAAAAACTTGTGTGTGTGCAAATAAGTTTAACAATTTACTGTGTACATAATAGTTTTATTATTTAGCATAAGTAACATAGTAAATTTTACTGTGTCTTAAATTTTAGGATAAATTATGTGTTTAGTACTTAAACTATTAGTGTTGGTCAGTTTTAGTACCTAAACTTTTATTTTTTCTTAATCATACCTAAAGTTTAGTTTTTGTTTCATTTTAGTACATCACCTTTAAAAACTTTAGTTTTTGTTTCATTTTAGTACCTATTCAAAATTTAACGTCAATTTTTGAAAGTTTAGGTACTAAAACGGACCAAAAATGATAGTTTAGGTACTAAATGCATTATGTTTTTAATGACAATGTACTAAAATGAAATAAAAACTAAACTTCATGTATGGTTTTGAAAAAATTAAGTTTATGTACTAAAACGGACAAAAACTAATAATTTAAGTACTAAATGTGTAGTACCCTAAATTTTATTATTTAGGGACAAAGATTGTGTTTGTGTGAATAAGTTTAACAAGTTAGTGAAATGAAGCAATTAAGGGAGAGGGAGATTAGAGCCTTGCACTTTTTACCTATTGGTGCATAATAGATATTTGTCATTAAGCAGGAGGATTGGTGAAGGAATTAATAATATACAAACAAACTAATCAATCAACAAAGTGAGATATACAAACACATACATAAACAGATGCAAAAATAATTATGGAAAGGGTAGGCCAATTAGATATATGTAGAAGTTGAAACAGTTGGGTTTGTTTTTATTACTACTTATTTTATGTATTATTCAAATCTCTTTTAACTCTTGAACCGGAAACTCATTTCATGAGGATTTTATAAGTCTACTCGAATCCATAACATTTAAAAGTTTATGATATGAAATCATCAAAAGATATCAGTGGTCAAAAGGAGTGTTGTTTCTCTAAGGTCTTGAGTTCGAACAATTGGTGTGTATGTTATCAATGACTAAGAGAAATTCTGAATGATATAACCTTGTAATCACCCTAGACTATTAAAAAAAGTTTATGATTTAAGAACGATGTCAACTGAACTAATACTCACCGTTCAACTAAATAAAACGGGGTTAACGTACACTAATCATGCATATGGTGGCATGAAATAATAGAATGCCTACCATGCATGGCCACACCATTCCCGGATATCATTGGTCCGGCAATGAGATTTGATAGCATGTGGGCTGAGATGCAATACAATACTCTTATTGCTGTATCAATTATTGCAAACAAATTATGAACCAATACTGGACAGCACAAGTAGACAAAAATCATTCATGTGTATTGTCACCACCCTCAAGAAGCTGGAATCCATGCATTGAGTGAAAAAAAAATATCACACGCCACTCACAGTTGTCTAAATAACCATCACAAATCACCAGTCACAACAATGCAAGTTGGCTTAATACATGACATTTTAAGATCATTCTTGGATGCTTCATCAATTTGGATATATATAATATATATATATATATATATATATAGTGTAGATGAAAGTGATGGAATTTTTACCTTAAGTTAAGAGGAGGGGCCATGGATGGTTATCTTGACACTGCATATATTTTCATTTTGAGTGATGTATGGTGAATGTTCAACTGAGTTAGGCAAAATTGCTTACAAAAGAAGGGAAGAAAGAAAAAGGATACTCACAAGTTTCCTCCCCAGAAGCTTACAAAAATCCAACTACTAACCTTCCTTCCACTCAATCAGATCCCAGCTCAGCAATCTCACAAATTTGCTTTAAAAAACCCACTTCTGGTTCTCGAGTAAAGGCACCAGTATCTCTCTTGAGCATATCATCAGTCAATTATCGAGCAACCTTCGAGCAGCAATGGCCTCCACAAAAATCTGTGCCCTCTTCATAGTTTTCTCTATTCTTCTCCATTCATCATCATTCACCAGCGCTTGCAACTCATGCAAGCCACCGAAACCCATCCCACCTCCCGCATGCACTCCACCGGCAAAGCCTGCTTCTTGCCCTAAGGATACGTTGAAGCTAGGCGTCTGTGCCGACGTCCTTGGACTGGTGAACATCGTGGTGGGAACACCCGCTTCGAGCAAATGCTGTGGATTGCTCCAAGGCTTGGCTGATCTGGAGGCTGCCCTTTGCCTTTGCACCGCCATTAAAGCCAACGTACTTGGGATCAACCTCAACGTCCCTGTCACTCTCAGCGTACTCCTTAGTGCATGCCAGAAGGAAGTCCCTGCAGGCTTCAAATGCTGATAGATTCATAAAGAAGTACCACAAAAAATGGGTTCTCGCTGGCTGGGTTTACTCTACTTTCGTATATTCATTATGGTGTTTGCAGATTGCCGTTCTTCGTCTTGATTTGTTGCTTTTAATCGGTACATTCCAAAGCTGGAATAGGGTTTTCTTTTGGCTATCTGTAATATTATTTCATATTTGTGTTGTAGTTTTAGGGTCGTGTCTTTACAAAGGAAGATTCTGGCCTTGTGTGAAATATTTGTTGAAGTTGATAAGGCATGTGGGTTAACATTTTAACTCTTGCCTAATGTAATTTTCATTTTTTTTTGTTAATGCTATAGATTTGAAGTTGATTTTGTTTATTAGAATCGTAAGAGACAGATCGTGAGTTATTTAAGATTGACTTGATCAAAGCTTGATAAATACTTTATTCAAATGAATTTGATTCGCGTTTGAACTCGATTCAAAAAGCTCGTGACCAACTCAAAAATATAACCTATTAAATTTTTTTTAAAAAAAAATATTAAAAATATTAATATTTATGTGTTAGATTTTTTAATATATATATGTATATGATATATATATATATAGTATAAGTTTTCTATTTAAAGTTCAGGTTTAAGTTAAATACATGTTTAAGTTTGAGATTCAATCGAGTTAAGTTTAAGATTTTTTTCATTTCAAACTTTTACGAGTTTTAATTTATAGTTTCGAGTTCGAGTCGAATTTAAAATTTATAAACTCACTAGTTTTCAAACCTAATTGAACTCCATTTTAGAGTTTTTGAGTTGAATCTAACTCAACAATACTCAAATTCAACTCGACTCGACTCATTTACATTCCCATAGTTTATTTCATTCTTTAAAATCCACCATAAATACATGATTTTGTTAATATCAATCTTTTCTATGAATAAAATGGATCGGAACGGGTTGAAATTTTTTACCACTCCGATTTCACTTCAAACATAAAGAGTATTTATTTTATCTTAATTTCGATCCGATCCCAATTCGATTTAATATAAGTATTATTCAAGTTTGATCGATCCGAAATCCAATCTAATTTTTAAATTTTAAAACCTTAAATTTTTAACAAAAAATATAATAATAAACATACTTATATAAATTAAGAATTATACCACCTATACATCGAATGATTTTCATTAATTCATCTGACCAAATTAACTATCGTGCCTAATTTGGGGACTGAGTCTGGGCTTGCGAAAACACATGTTGGGTTGAGTTTAGGAATATTCTTTTTAACTCGAAAATCCAATCTTATTTTAAAATAAAAAAAATTATATTAGATTGCATCTAACATATATATATTAATTTTATTAGATAAAATAAATTTAATAAAAAAATTATAGAGATAAAATATTATTATAATTATTATTAGATATATAAAGAATAATTATATTATATCTCAAATCAAATTTAAAATTTTTCATTATAAAAAAATCTAAGTTAATAATTTATAAAAAATATATATAAATCGAATTAGAAGGATATTTTATATCATCACCGCGTATATATAAAAGGGTAAATTAAATGTTTAGTACCTAAACTATTAGTCTTGGTTAATTTTAGTACATAAACTTTCAATTTTTCAAAATCATATCTTACGTTTAGTTTTTGTTTCATTTTAGTATATCGTCATTAAAAACTTAACGGGTGATTTGCACGTGACACCTTTTTATGGGTAAATTATATTATTTATCACTCAACTATCTTCTCGCTTCAATTTTGGTCACTAAAGTTTAAATTTTTTAATTTAATTACTTAACTTTCAAATTACTCCTAATTTAATCACTCTATCTTTCAAATCTATTTTTAATTTTAATTATATATTAAAATAATAATAATGAAAATGCCATGTCACAAAAATTATTAATAAAATAAATTAGAGTGATTAAAATAAGAAAAAATTGAAAGTTGGGTAATTAAATTGAATTTTTTATTTAGTACCAAAATAGGAGTGAGAAGATAGTTAAGTGATGAATGGTGTAATTTACCATAAAAAAAGCAGTCCCATTAAATTTTTAACAGCTAGGTATTAAAATGAAACAAAAACTAAATATTATGTAAGACTTTGATAAAAAAATGAAAGTTTAAATACTAAAATAGACCAAAACTAATAGTTTAAGTACTAAACATTTAATTTACCCTTTTTATATTACTAGTATCTAACCTCGAGTTTAAGGATATACCCAGGTTGAGTTGGATCGAGTCTTTTGTTAACTCAAATCTGACTTTTTTGTGTGTGTGAAAGTAATATTAGGAAATATTCATTTGTCGAAAGTCGCATAAATAATGTCTTGTCAATTACAGACTGAACAAATATAGCCATGACTATCATAAATAAAATATAATAACGATCGCCTAGTGATAACCTGATAAGAAAAATCATGAACAAGTGAAACAACGACATATATAAACGAATACACCAACGATTCTGAACACCAAACATGGAGAGAAAAACTTGAAGAAGAGCCAAAACGACTAATAGAAAAAGCGATCTCCCCTTAACAACAATCTCATCTAGCACATATATGCAATAACCAACGTATCGTCTTGTACAAACGAATAGAGACATTGGCATCGGGAAAGCAACCAATGAATCATGTAGAATCGCATACCAAAAAGAATATCAATAAAATAAATCTACACAAAAAATCTATAAATACCGATAGACATGATACCCTTTATAAAAGGGTAAGAAAAATATTATTATCAAATTATGGTAAACTAAAATTGAAAAGCTAGTAAAAGTAAAAAGAATTAACGGAAAAGGTGAATAAAAAGACAAGGAGGTGACCGTGTACGGCAACATCCTACCCCAAAGATTAGGTGACCGTGAACAAGGCTTTAATTTTGGGTGTGAGATCGAGTCTCACGGAGGGCATTTCATAATTCAGAGGTCTCCCACAGAAGCTGCTCTCAACCTGGCATTGAGAGCAACCTACTATCTTACCTCCCCCTTATCCCATTACATATGGGAATAAAAGTCAATTAATTTTGACTTAAATATTTTACTTCTTCATCTGTAATCTTATTAGACTCGAGTTTAGAAATATTCTTTTAACTCCAAACTCGATCCTACTTTAAAGTAAAATTTCAAATTTTAATATATATATTATTTTTATTAGATAAAATAAATATTATTATAATTATCTTTAAATATATAAAAATAATTATATTATATCTCAAATCAAATTGAAACATTTTCGTTCTAAAATCAAATCTAAGTTTATTATTTAAAAAATAAATAAATTTATAAAATTGAAGGATATTTTATATCATCATCATGTATTTAAAAAATGTATAAAATTGTAATTTTTTTTGGAGATTTTCGGACATAATCATTTCATTTTGACTTGTAAGGTGTATGATAGTGAGTTGGAATGGAATGGATTCGAGTAAAAGACATTTTTCAAAGCAATAATAGAAAAATAAGTCCAAATTTTAAATTCCTATTATTCTATTATTTGTTAACTGCTTGGATCTGCCAATATTCACTGTTCATCTCACTATCTTATCTCAGTTCCTTTTCATCTTCTTCACTAATTCTGTTATAAGTCTTCTTCATTCTCAGGTTCATAGCTGTGATGGAGTTTTGATTCATCGCACGCTTCACGAGGTAAGAAAGAGATTAGTAAAACTCTTTTTCTTTTAAAGGAAAATCTTGTTAGTTTGGTTCAGCAGAAAGACTGAGGGAAATTTTTCATTTAATTTCTTTCAAAGAGTAGATCAATGCGAAGCAAAATGCCTTAGTATCTGTTCAAAGATAAATCTCTATCATTTGATGAACTACCGATGCTTTGGATTCGATTTTAATTTGCTGTTTATCTGCTACTACGAGATCTAATTGAGTTTTTCTTTTTCCTTTGCTTCATAAATTATATCGACAAAGAACATTATGAATGTGATAAATATATATTTTTAGAAAGTTCATGTTCGACCCTTATCCTTTTGCGCTGAAAAATGTGGATAGTTTATATCAATGAAAATTATTAAATATTATAAGATTTAAAGCTGTTAGGTTGAGAATTTAAAAATACTGCAAGTGCTGGTTCCTTTTAATTTATCTGTAATTAGGATTGCTCGTTAGTTTTACTCATCTTGATGGATTTGGATATTCTATTGACGAGTATTGGCTTGAAAATGCCCTTTCAAATGGTGTCTACGTGTTAATTTCTTTCCAGTACTTGCTTTGTCTGTAATTAGTCTTTCCTCTTAGTTTGTTTTGTTCCTGTTACAGTGTGTGATGGATTCAGATAATCTATCGTCTGCGGGTGAGCTTGAGGTTGCCAGTCAAAATGGTGTTTATCGGCAACCTCAGGTGTGTGGGGACGAGTACGACTGTGGTATTTCGGATAATGTGAATGGGAGTGTTGAGGAGACCTTCGAGACTTATTTGCATAATGAAATGGATGACAATGGAACAACTGAGCAGGCTAAAGAAGGGTCAAATGACTATGTTGAAAGCAATGGATTGATTGATTCCGAGGCAGTAGGTCCTATTATTCTGTTTGAGTCTTTTATTAATTACCATGAGACTAATTTCACGTGTATGACTGTCTTTATTTGTAGGAAGGGGAAGCCAAAGATAATTTGAAGCAATCCAAACCTCGTAAGATTCAAGGCGAGACCAAGACTGAGAAGCGCTCTGGTCCCAAAAAGGTTTCGCCATCTTTATTGAAGAAAAGTAAAGATGGAAAGATTACAAAGGCAACATTAACAGCTCCTGATGGTGGTTCTGGTGCTGCAAATTCACGTGTGAAACAGCCTCTTAAAAGTAGATCATTGAATGAAAGACAAGCTAATGTATCCCAGGTCAGGGTTCACAATGATAAGACTAATTTCTTTTTCTTTGGATTTTGCTTTTCTTTTGTTATCACTGTTTCTGCCTTTCTGATTTTTTTCCTCTCTGTGTGCTTCCAACAGCAACCTGGAAAACCTGATGCAGCCTTCTCTGAAGGCAATACGTATGTACTACTTGTTCTTTTGTTAATTTCTTTTCTCTTCTTTATGCAACCTTCTGCCATTCTTATTGATTCTATAAACGAAGAGGGGAAGCTCTAACTGGCCACTTTTTATCTTCTTATTTTCCCCTGAAATTGGAGTATCGGACTTTATGTGCTGCATGATGAAAGATCTGTTCTCCTGCATTCTCACAAATGTTCTACTGTTTATTACAGAGAGAAACCCAAGCTAAAGCCTCTGAAGAAAGGATCTCCAAAAAAAGCTGAAGGAGACGCTGAGTCATCATATCCTTGTGTGTTTGAACATTTTGTTATTACTTTCTGTCTGGTACTATGCATTGAAATGGGTCACGGTTTGAGTTTTCTTTCCAACGTTGTCTATAAGTTTTCACTGGCATGTATCTGTTTATCCTTAATTGCTGCATTGAAGCCCCACACCAGCTGATGCTAGAGCTCATAAGAATGGTACTCTTCCAAATTATGGTTTCAGTTTCAAGTGTGGTGAACGGGCAGAGAAGAGGAAAGAGGTTGGTGCTTTATATGATATTCCCCAGATTTTACGTTGTCTATTATTGCAGCAAGTTCACTTCAACTTTTAAGTCTTCGTTACTGTGTTGCGCAGTTCTACAACAAACTTGAGGAAAAGATTCATGCAATGGAAGTAGAAAAAGCAACTTGCAGGCCAAGTCTAAGGTATTATTTTGTGAATGTTATGTCATATGTCCAAAATCATTTCTTATAAGGATATTCAACTTTTCTGCAGGAAACACAAGAGGCTGAGATTAAGATGTTTAGGAAGACTTTGACCTTCAAAGCAACTCCGATGCCAATCTTCTATCAGGAACCTCCACCTCCAAAGGTGGAATTAAAGAAGGTTGGTTGCATGTTCCGACATATATAGAAGGCTAGATGGTGCTTTGAGTATAGAAATCTACATAGGCAGATTCGTTTTTCCTTTCTTTGGTGTGTGTATACATGCATTACACTTCTTTTGTTTCTTTATCTGCTATATGTTGACGATGAGTTTCTCTCGATTTGCAACATTAATGTCTTCCTATTACTTGGGTGCAGATACCAACTACAAGAGCGAAATCTCCAAAGCTTGGTCGAAGGAAAAGCTCGACTTCTTCAGACATAGATGGTAACAGCAATAACAGTCACCAATCAGGTCGGCTAAGTCTGGATGAGAATGCATCTCAAAGCTTATCTGCCAAAGTGATTTCTCCTGTTCATGCAAAGAAGCCACAGAGGAAATCACTTCCCAAGTTACCTTCTCAGAAAACTACTTTGTCCGGTGCAAAGCATGAGGAGCCGAAACCAAAGGCATCCAATCAGAGAAAGGTGACTAAATCAAAAGCAACAACCGCGAAGAATACCACGTCATCTGATTTGATGGAGGAGGAATTATCTCCAATCCAACAGCCAGAGGCAGTTCCTAGTTCGACAGCTGATTCAGATGGAAGTCAGCCCGACATGGACCAAGGGCCAGTGATCGGAGAGCAGGGGCAGCTGGACTTGGAACAAGAGCCAATTCGGGTGGAGCAATAAGCAATAAGCACGGCAATGTAGCTTGCACAGATCGCCGAGCATGTTTACAGTACTATATGTCAATCATTTACAACGTTTGGCGTAATTTATTTATGTTGTTATTTAACGATGGGCAGTTGAGTCTCTAAAGTCATTTGCTGTTTGTGTTAGAGAATCCATAATCAAACCTGCTGAAGTAATTGTGAATTGAAGTTCTGTCTGCTACATTGTGTAAATTGCTCTGTTTATTCTACAAAGTCAGTGACTGTAAATTTAAGGTTTATATCACAATCAAGTACCTAAAATGTATCCTCCTTTTCATTTAAGTACCTAAAATTATCTTTTTGATCAAAATAGGAGTATTTTATGTCAAAAAAAAGAATTTTAGGTACTTATTTGACTAAAAAATGCTTTAGATACTTAAACGAAAAAGATAGTATACTTTAAGTACTTATTGTAATGCAATCCTAAATTTAATAAGATTAAATAGCCACATATGGCGATTATTTAAAGACTTGAATTGGAATCCAGAGTCGACCTTTATATAATTAGTATGGTGAAAGATGTTGACAAAGAAATTTAGAGTTTCCACTTTATTTGATTACCCTTCTCTAGATTTTTTTCTCATCTTCTTCTGGTCTTTTCACATCAACCAACAGTTCCAAACAGCACAATTTCCATGGATCACATAAAATCAAATTAGCAATCATTCACATCAAAGTTTGACCATTTTTTTCATAACCATAGTGGGAACAGAAACATTGACTACCTCCAATGGCGGATGCAACTTCACATAACATGGTTTGACAGGTTGCAGACGACAAAAGTTCAAAAGACCAAATGAGATTAGTAAAAACGATGGGAGAAAAACAACTCTCATGGAAGTTTGAACTGACTACGATGACTCGAAGACTTTGAATCCGCCATCGAGGAAAACAAAGGACCCAACAATGAACAAACTAAAGTGCAAAGGAAAAGCTTAGCATCAGAACCATATGACTAAGCAAAAGGCACCCTAAAATCCAGAACCCAGCAACTGTATTCTCAGGGAAGTTTGACCAAGAAAACGATACCCGTTATTGGGATAATCAAAATCTAGTAACAGGTCTCTGATGAAGGGATACCTGCAAAAAAATGGGAGAATGGCCGTGTTCCCTGGAAAAAGGGGCCAAGTTCTGGAAGATAGAAGACCCACAATTGATGGACCCAAAAACTAAACTAACTGTGGCTACTCACAGAGGGTATTCATATAGGCTTCTTGATTGATCAAACCTTGTTTTGCTAATAAATCGATACTCGGCAGTAGGTGGAGCGGTGTAGTGGCCAATATATGTTAGTTTAGAAAAGGATGTCGCACCTCCATAGCTGCTCTACAAGTAGGTCGACTGCACAACTGCTGATTGCCTTGCAGTGCTGTAGGTTTAACCCCAAGAGGGTCTCACTCAATTTTCCAAGTGAAGGCAAGCTTTTGTCGGTGACCTTAGTGCAACCTGACACAGAAAGGATCTGCAAATTGATTTGATTAGAACAGGCCAGAGTTGCAATTCCAGAATCGGTGATAGCACACTTGGAGACATCAAGTTCATTGAGCAACTGGCAGTTCTCTGCAATTGCAATCAAACTAGCATTGCTGACCTTACAACCATCAAGATTCAGCATTTCTAAAGTCCATCCGTGCAGATCAGCCATGACACAGATGCCTTTGTCATCCAAATTCACACAACCGCTGAGATTAACCTTCACTAAACCAGCCTCACAACTCTCAACCAATGGAAGAAACCCAGCATTGGTTATGCCATGAAGCCCGCTCAACTCCAAGTGCTGCAGTTGAGGGCACAACTTCCCTAATGCAACCAAGCTGGAATCACCAAAACCGGGGCAGTTACGGATGGACAGTGATCGAAGGGATTGACAAGGGGATACAGTGGGCAATCCCAGGTTTAGGTCCTTAACACCCAAGCAGTTCACAAAAGATAAAGCCTTCAACTTTGCACCACAGTTAAGGAGAGAACCAAAAAGCCCGAATTGGGTGATCCTGTGACAGTCCTCTAGTCGCAAGCTCTCCAGCGAACTAGCTGTTTTGGTGAAAGACACCAGCCCATTATCAGATAAGAAAGCACATTTATGGAGGCATAACTGTTTCAAATTTGAGCAACCCTTTGCAACAGCCTCAAGTCCCAGATCTGTTACGCCACGGCAGGATGTAACTGTGAAAGATTTCAATTTCTGTAGCCCATGGCCATTACCCATCACCCAGAAGCCCTTTTCACTCACATTTAAAAGGCTGGTGAGAGAAAGATCAGTCACTGCCTTGCCATAGTGTCCAATAACAGCAAGAGAGGCATCAGTAATGTTCAAGGCTTGTAGCTTTACTTTTGTCAGGGTACATGAGGCTGAAGACAACATGCTTGCAATTCCCTGATCTCCAACAAGGGGACAGTTTTTTATTGAAATGGACTTTAGATTTGGACAGCTGCGACCTACAGCTTGGAGACCTTCATTTCCAATGTTTGCACAACCATCAATGGTCAGATCTTTCAAAGCAGGGCAGCTCTTTGCAAGAGCCAGCAAAGACTTATCAGTAATTGCGGGACAGTGGCAAAGGTCAAGCTTCTCTAGCTGGTGACACCCATCAGCAATCTCACACAGACCTTCATCTCCAATAGAAGATAAATTCCACAATGAAAGAACCCTTAAAGAAGGACATCCACGGGAGATGGCCCTGAGCCCAACGCTAGTCACTCCACGCGTAGAATTGCTTCCACTAATGAAAAGCTTCCCCAATCCTCCACGACTAGCAGTTCCAACAGCAAGAGAAGCAAGTCTAACATCCGTTGCTTTCTTTCCTTCCAAAATCCTAGAGAGGAATCCATCACCCTCAACATCATGATCTACAACCTCAGAAACAACTCCATCCTTGTCATTTATTTCATTTCTGCGGATGTTGCTAACAAGTGTAAGCCAGCGCTTGGATACACAAGCGCAGGAACTCCTCTCTTGGCCTCGAGGTAGTCGTCTGAAGATTTCAAATAAGCATTCATCAGGGAGAATCTCAATCGATGGCTTCTTCTGCTCAAACCTTTCTCCAGACAAAACAATCGGGGCACTGAAGCGCGACCTCTTTTGATGAGGAAAATATACATCCCCGTTAAGTCCAAGGGAGAAAAAGAGACTCGATTCCTTGGGGGTTGGGTAAATAGAAACCCCGGGAAAAAATTATCAGTTCCTGAGAACCAAGATTAAAACTGCTGATCAGAACAGAGCAACAGAGCAATCAAACACAACACAACACTACAGGAAAACTGGATTAAAAAGCTTGACAAGTATTTCAGATTAAGCAGAAGTTGTTCTCAATACAACAATCAAAAACCACATCTCTACTAATATCATGCCCAACAGACATAAAGAAACATAAAATATTGCATCCGTCCTCGGATTCAACTGAGAAACATACCGAGCTCTTCCCTACAACACCATACTCTATATTCAATTGCACAGGTCAACCCATGAGCGCAAAACTAATTAGAGAAATACACAGACCCTCAAACAATAAGAGGATCAGTTCTAAGTTAGCCTGATCTACATCTAGAACATCTTCATAGCCCCCAAATCTTCATATTAACAAAAACCAACATAAACTAAACGCAACTAAAGTTATTTCCCTAAATCAACATGGATTCAGTAACTCACAACCAAGTCTTCAAACCCAAATATTGAAATACATCGAAAGATATTAATCATCCAAGAAAAATCTAAAATTTGATCACACAAAAGGATATAATTATGCAACATCCAATCCATAGATCAAATTCATCATAAACGAAAACCAAAGATACCCAGAAAGAAAAAAAAGCTAAAAAATAGAAAGATAAAGAACTTACCACTAAAAGAAAAGATCTTTGACATGAGTACAGCTGAAAAAATCCCGGGAGGTCGAATCCGCACTGTTCCTCGCCCAAAAACCCTCCAAAGAGAGCGAAAAAGAGAGACCCAACAAGGAAGACAGTCGTAACTTCAAGGAATGTGGCTTGAAAACAGGAATGCATGAGAAAGATTGGAGCTAGAAGGACATGGGAAACCCTATCAGATATGGCAAAAAAGAGGTGGAGAAAGAGAGAAAAGGGGAAAAACAGCCGGAAAAAAAAGAAATGAAAGATGGTGATAGAGGGAGAAAGGGTCGGTTTTATTATGAGAGGAGAGAGGTTTGGGTATGTGATAATACACCATAGAGAAACCGAATGCATTGTATTTGGCCCAAAAATTTGGGGTTTGGTTTCCTTGTGGGGACTCTCTCTCTCTCTCTTGTCCCCTTCCTTCCCAATCCCCCTTACTTTACTGCTTTTGTCCGTTGATGGTTTTGCATTTCTCATTCGGATAAATTACACTTTTAGTATTTAAACTATTAATTTTAATCAATTTTAATACCTAAATTTTCAAGTTTTCAGATCTATACATAACGTTTAATTTTTATTTTATATATTGCATTAAAATTTGAATGACACTATATTTTTATAGTTAAATTACATCATTCATCACTTAATCATCTTTTCACTTCTATTTTATTAATAAAGTTTTAAAAATTTTAATTTATCTACTCAACTTAATTATTTCTATTTTAATCATTCTAATTTAGTTTATTAATAATTTTTGTGGCATGGATTATTTTATTAATATATAATAAAAAATAAATTTGAAAGTTAGATAATTAAATTAAAAAAATTAAACTTTAATAACTAAAATAAGAGTAAGAAGATGATCGAGTGATGAATAGTATAATTTATCCATAAAAATGTTATATGCAAACGGTGAGATATTAAAAGAAAAAAATTAAACATTAAATATAATTTTAAAAAATTTAAAAATTTAGATATTAAAACTGATAGTGTAATTTACCCTTCTCTTTCGTTATCCCCAAGTGTTTGGACACTAGATTAAGCTTAGCCTTCGCAATGACAGAATATCCTGCATTGGAATAAACCACTCTGTTTCATTATTTTAAAAATAAGGTCAAATTTTAGTTTTGATCCCTTTATTATACCCAAATTTTGGATTCAGTCATTATATTTGAATTTGATACTGTTCCATAACTCTATTTCAGAATATCATTACCTAATTCAAATATTTTATACCGATTATTATTTTAAACGGTTAAAATATTAATATGAATTTCCATAAAAGTAGAAAATTCATATAAAGATATAAATGAGTTAGACTTTATTATTTTTAAGAAAAAATATATGATAACATTTAAATCTAAATAGTTGGTCTAGTGGGATGAGACACTAGATCTCTTAAGCAATGTCAGGGGTTCGAATCTTGGCGATTGTGAATGGAGCAAATTGGGTTGGGAGGGTATGTAGTGCCTGATCCGGATTAGTCGATCAATAAATCAAATGCCAATGGTTATACAAAAAAAACTACAACGTTGTTGGTTATTTAGAGTTTAGACTAACTAAGTAAGTCATAGAATTAAAAAAACTCAAATTATACCAAAAAGTACAAGAATTATTCCCTTATAAAAGTATAGAGGCTAAATTTCAAATTTGAGCATAGTTGATGGACCAAAATTATAATTTGACCTAATAATAAAAGTTAAAGTTCATTGGTCATTATTAAAAGTATAGAGGCTAAATTTCAAATTTGAGCATAGTTGATGGCCATAATCATAATTTGACCTAATAATAAAAGTTAAAGTTCCATTGGTCATTATTAAGGAGTAAAATTGAATATACATTCCTAGTCTATATTTTACAATTTAGGAGTATTAAATATTTTAGTATAATATACGAATGGTCATCAAATTGTGTTAAAGTGGCTTTTTATCATTTAAGTTTCAAAAATTTCAAAATGATCATTAAACTTCTCTACCAAATACAAAATGATGGTTATACTTTATCAAACTATTGCAAATTATCATTAAACTTGCATAACTATTACAGAAATGGTCATTAATTTTGCATAACTATTACAAAATAATCCCCAAACTTTTTAAAATTTATTATTATTTTATGACGTGCAATAATCATTTTGTAATGGTTTGATAAATTTAATGATCATTTTATAATTTTTAAAATTGTAGTAACAAAAAAATTAGGAGAAATTATAAATTTGGTAATTGAACTTTGCTCTCTCTCATATTTCACTCATTGTGCTTTTAATCTTTTAAACTTCCTCACTAAACTTAATATATCGAGTTTTTTGGTCACTCGTCGTTTTCTCACTAACGACGTTATAAATTATATAGATGCAAAAAAGCTTTTGTTTTTGTGAAAATTTTGTTATTTTCAAATAGCATCGTTTTAACGTTGTTAACTATTTAACAGCGGAATGACCGAAGAAACCCAATGTATTAAGTTGTAGTGAGGAAGTTGAAAACTTTTAAAGTTTAGTGAGCAAATAGGAGAGAGAATAAAGTTTAATGATGGAATTTTTAATTTACCCAGAAAAAATTATGTGCTGCACCATAAGTATTATGCAATTTAGGAATAAAATATATTACATGGTTTGTTGGCATTAATTATGGGTTAAGTTAGGAAGAAAACGGGAAATTGATAAGAGACAAGTTGAATTGGGAATGCACGTGATGAAATTAAGATGACATTAATAAAACCATGAAATGCACGTGTGATGCGAGTCATTTTGCACTCATTGCCAACTTCATCTTGCTTAATTCTCTAAGCAAAAACATTACTATATATTATGTACAATAATTAAATGCTCCAACTTGGTATTTTATACGTATATTTGACCGGTGGATCCAGTTGTATATCATGTCCCATGTACCATGAGCATAAAATAGTAATAAATACCACATATAGAAGATAATATAAAGGGTTTTTAATTTGTTTGATTGAATCGAGTCGAGTTGATCTTTTGACTCGAAACAAATTTTATTTGTACTTAAACGTTATGATGCATGCATGCAGTGTTCTCCCTATTTTGTAGTGATATTAATGCAACAAGATGGATGTGGGTTTCCTTCATTTTGTTCCTTCTACAATTCCCCCTTTAAAAAGCATGTATGCATGTGCATGCATGATGAACACATACATACATGGTAATTAACAAACGTAATATAACATGTGCATATAACATGCAATAATTAATAGCAATATATCGCGCTGGAACCCATCCACTTGGACTCTGGTTCCACGTAATTTCAAATGGTGCCCAACTCATCAAATTTGGAAGTTCATGCATTTCCACTTGAACCATTCCATTATCAGAACAATTTAATAGCGGTGTTTTTTTAGTTCTATAGAGGGGTTTATAAGCGCCGAGACAAAGTTTTTCGGCGTAAAAAAATGCCGCAAAAGTTAGTGACAATTGTAAATAAAAAACGCCGTTATATACCATGATATTTCGCGGCGTTTGTGTATAAAACGCCGCTATATACTATGATATGTAACAGAATTTGTGAACAAAATGACGCTATATACTATGATATTTAGCGGCGTTCGTTATACTAAAACGCGGTTAAAAGTTATTGGTTTTGCAGATCAAATGGGGAAAGTTAGTGGTGTGAAGTCTAGGCTTGCAGTGTTTAGATTTCTGTAGTAGTGGATCTGTACAAGCTGGTTGTTACTTTGGCTTAATTTTGTAATTATTTTCTATTTAGGGTTTGGGCTTTTAGAGTCGGACTTGGGTAGTAAAGAAGGGATGGGTATTTACTTGTTTGAAGTGCAGCGTCATCATGTAATAGAGTCGTTGTTTTTGAGGGAGCACTACACTCGCTTGCTCTAAGTAACAATATCCAAGGAGGCAAAGCAAATGGACTGGAATCTCAATTCAAGGGATCTGCATCCATAATTCATTTCATACTGGATTCCCTTTTCTTGAAGAATTAGCTCCCTAATTTGATTTACTGTGACATTTGTTCCTTTCAGCCTATGGAAATTTATGTAGACGACGAGGCCAAGTTGACCCTTCATGGTCTTGTGCAGGTATGTTTTAAGAAGCTGGCTTATTTTCAAGCCTTCATTTGTGTTTATTTTAATCTAAACACCAAAATGGTTCTAATGACAGCACTACATCAAATCGAGTGAACTGGAGAAAAAGCGCAAGTTGAATGACCTCCTTGATGCATTGGACTTCAACCAAGTCGTCATCTTTGTCAAAAGTGTGAACCGAGCAGCTGAGTTAAACAAGTTACTTGTGGAGTGCAATTTTCCTTCTATATGCATCCACTCTGGCATGTCCCAGGAAGAAAGGTTTTTAAAAATTGTACATGTCATGCATAATTAATTTCTGCCCCCTTGTGTATTTTATATTCTTGTAAAACTAGTGACATAAGGACCCTCTTTCGTTCAATCATCCCTCAAGATTTCGTTCAGTTGCTTGGCTTGTGTATTCTTCTATGATGGATGCTGTATATCAGAATTGTGGATGTTTCTATAACATGATTTTCTGTTTTGTTAATGGTTCTTGAATAAATATGATATGTGGTTTGGCTTTTCATATTATTTTTGTTTATAAATATAAGCATCCGAATCTCTTACCCTCGGTTGTAATGCTGATCAATGCTATGTAGGTTAACTCGCTACAAGGGTTTTAAGGAGGGGCATAAAAGAATTCTTGTGGCTACAGAGTTGGTTGGAAGGGGAATTGACATTGAACGTGTTAACATCGTCATCAACTATGACATGCCGGATTCTGCCGATACATACCTGCACAGGGTATTGTTTGTTTCGATCGCATACCGATCTTGCTTCTTTTCTTTGCATATACTGAACGATGTTTCTTGGTTCATTGGTGGTAGGTTGGTAGAGCTGGCCGGTTTGGCACCAAGGGTCTTGCAATTACATTTGTTTCATCTGCTTCAGATTCTGAAGTGCTCAATCAGGTTTAGGCCCACAACTTGTAACCATTGTTCTGTCCATTGATTTGTCATCCTCAGACCGATTATCTTCCACCCGTTGCAGGTCCAGGAGAGGTTCGAGGTGGATATACTGAGCAGATTGATACCTCTACTTACAGTATGTTTCTTTTTATGCTTTAATCTGCTTTTGATACAAGTAGTAGAACATTTATGTTCTTGCTTAGGAATGGCAACTTTCTCCGACCCCGAAGTGTCCGACCTCGACGTGTCCGGACCAGGACCGTGGCTAGGTTGTCGGGGGCCTTGTACAAATTCTTATAAAGGGCCCTCTATTTTTTAGATATATTCGATTTTTGGGCAACAATAGTGGCGTTTTTTATAAACGCCGCAATAGGTCCATTTATAGCAGCGTTTTCAATAAAAGCCGTAACAATGTGACATTTTTTTGAAAAACGACGCAATAAGTTCATCTATAGTGGCGTTTATTGGAAAAATGCCACTATAGATATACTTTTTTGGGGCCCTGCGCGGTCGCCCATTTCTCACCGCCCAGCCACGGCACTGGTCCGGACCCGGTCGAAGGTTAAACCTAATTACTAATGCTTATCAATTTGTTCATGTAGTGCCATCATAAATGGAGGGTCGATGTGTGTGAAGTAATGTGGAACGCTTTTTTTTAAAATCAGCAGATGCACTATATCATGTGCTGTTGCTGCTTAAGGAAGTATTGTAGCCTAATTGAGGAAGTATTGTAGCCTAATTGAGGACATTTGTTTTTAGAATTATATAATCTTAATGTATGTAATTTGGAGCTTAACCTCTTAATCTGATTTAAGGTCAAATATAATTTATTTTTATTTTATTAAAAAGATTAATTATAAATGAAATAAAAGTAGAATAGTGTTTGCTATCACATTCTAGTTTAGTTTTGTTATATAAGAGCTTATATAAACGCTCAAATACCTTATAGTTGCTTGTGTTCGAACTCCAGACCCTACTGATAATAATCATTCACTTGAGACTTTTAACGATAATAAGCATCTCTTTGACCATTGGAGTCGTTAAACTTAATTTAAAAAAATCCAACTCTATAAAATCAAATAAAAACCAATGAATTTCAATATTTTAGCCATATTATCCCACGTATGACCTTGGTCCTTTTATTTAAACATGACAGGCCGAACATTGCCTTTGTCGATAAAAGAGTTTTAGTATGACGATGTTATCATATGATTGAATTTCATTAAAATTTCCATTTGTACCTCACAAAATGTCTCTCTTTTATCTTGAATTATAGTAAAAAAAAATTAACCTTCCGGTTTCTAAGGCTTCACCTTGACTAATCTGATTGCTCTAGGTCCCACACTTAGTATTTATGGGTGAGTCTCCCAACGGAGATTTTCTGTATTCACAATGACTTGAACTCGAGACATACTTAAATGAAATTAAACTGCATATTACTTAACCAATCTAGTTGGTAAATTAAAGTAAATTTATTAAAATTTGATTTGGGCTGAATTTGCATGTAGTAGTTTCTTTTCCCTTATAAAAATGAAATATAATATATATAAGGGTAAATCACGCATTTCGTACATCAACTATCAGTTTTAGTCCATATTAATACTTAAACTTTCAATTTTTTTAAAACCATACATAAAATTTAATTTTTAATCATTTTAGTATCCGTCATTACAAATTTTACTTTTTGTTTTATTTTAATACTTGTTCAAAATTTAACGTTAAGTTTTGAAAAAAAATAAATATTTAGGTATTAAAATAGACTAAAACTGATAATTTAGGTACTAAACACGTTAAGTTTTTAACAGTGAGTACTAAAATGAAATGAAAACTAAATATTAAACATGGTTTTGAAAAGAATAAAAATTTAAATACTAAAACTGATAGTTTAATTACTAAATATGTATTTACCCTATATATAAACCCATGAAAGAAACATGGGAAAAAGCCCAAGAAGAGATGGTCTATTTCCACCAAACTTGTTGTGAAATTCGGGTTAATTTCCACCAATAACAGATTCACCGTGAAAACTATTATCTAGGTGACTAGTGTGAAAACGATTGTACTAAAAATCACCCCAAGGTAGATTCCCAGGAAAGAGGAGGGGTCACAATGGTCCCTCTTAAAACCCACTTTCCTTAGACAGAATTACCAAGACAAGTAATTTTAATAGGACAATAATTGACAACAACTATACCCGACAATAGCTATTAAATAGACATAAAAGAGAACACCAAAATATTTCACTAATAGAGGAAATATTACAAAGAGAGAAAGAATACAAATAGCCTTTAAAATAGAAGAAGGCTTATATTTGTGGGATGATTAACTAAGGAGGAGAAGGGCTTTATTTATAACAAAAGAATTTCCCCTCCTCCTTATACACAACCAATGTGGGACTTTTGCCAAAAACCAACAAATCTCCACCTTGGCAAATTCCACACACATCTCTAAAAAAAAACAATCTTTTAATTTGTAACAATATTGACCAAATCTAAACAATGTTTAAACTTGACCGCAGTTACCACTTTTGTCAACATATCAGCAGGATTCTCAGTGGTCCGAATCTTCTGGATTATGACTCCACCTTCTTCTAGAATCTCTCGTACAAAGTGATATCGAACATCGATGTGCTTCGTCCTTGCATGGTAAACCTGGTTCTTTGCTAAATGAATAGCACTCTGACTATCACAGTGCACTTTGATGTGCTTTTGTTCCATTCCCAATTCACCAAGCAACCCTTGAAGCCAAATTGCCTCCTTCACAGCCTCTGTAACTGCCATATACTCTGCCTCTGTAGTAGACAAAGCCACTGTTGACTGTAAGGTGGACTTCCAACTGACTGGTGCCTTTGCAAATGTAAACACATAACCAGTAGTTGATCGACGCTTGTCCAAATCACCTGCATAGTCTGAATCACAATACCCAACTACACACTGACCATCTTGTTTGTCCTGCTGAAAGACCAAACCAACATCTACGGTGTTCAGAATATACCGCAGAATCCATTTCACAGCTTGCCAATGCTCCTTTCCAGGATCATGCATATACCTGCTCACAACCCCAATTGCCTGTGAAATATCAGGTCTCGTACACACCATTGCATACATCAAGCTACCAACAGCACTTGCATACGGAACCTTTGACATGTATTCCCGTTCTGCATCATCCTTAGGTGACATGGATGCACCGAGCTTGAAATGAGGAGCAAGAGGTGTACTAACTGGTTTTGACATCTCATTTATGCCAAAACGTTTTAGTACCTTCCTCAGATATTCTTTCTGAGACAAACAAAGCCTCCCCAATTTCTTATCCCTTGATATCTCCATGCCTAGAATCTTCTTCGCTTCACCAAGATCCTTCATCTCAAACTCCCTGTTCAATTGAGTCTTTAGTTTCACAATTTCTGTCTGACTCCTGGAAGCTATCAGCATATCATCAACATAAAGAAGAAGATATATATAGGATCCGTCTTCTAGCTCACGTAAATACACACAATGATCATATTTGCTTCTTGTGTACTTCTGCCCTATCATAAACTTGTCAAATCGCTTGTACCACTGCCTTGGAGATTGCTTCAATCCGTACAACGATTTTTCTAATTTGCACACCATCTCTTCTTTTTCAGCAACTTTGAATCCATCTGGCTGAGTCATGTAGATTTCCTCATCCAAGTCTCCATGTAAAAAAGCAGTTTTTACATCCATCTGAACTAGTTCCAAATCCAACTGCGCTACCAAAGCCAACAAAATTCTGATGGAGGAATGTTTTACAACTGGAGAAAATACTTCATTATAATCAACTCCCTCCGTTTGAGCGTAGCCTTTAGCCACCAATCTTGCTTTGTAGCGGATGTTATTCTTGTCAGGAAATCCATCTTTCTTTGCATATACCCACTTGCACCCAATTGCCTTCTTTCCCTTGGGAAGACTAGCTAGTTTCCACGTCTGATTCTTTTGAAGGGATTGTATTTCTTCATTCATGGCAATCCTCCACTTTTTATGTTCTGAACTTTGAACTGCTTCATTAAAAGTGGCAGGAACGTCATCAATTGCAATTGGTGATGTAAAAGACCATATCAGCATAACGAGCAGGTTGTCTAATGGTCCTCTTTCCCTTTCTGAGTGCAATTGATTCATGTTGCTGTGGAGGTTCTTGGGTTTGAACCTCTTCTTCATCTGACTCTTCTTCTACCATAGGAGAGTCAACATCATTTTCTTTACTGGTTGGGACAAATTTGCTTCCTTCAAACTCCACCTTTTTGGGAGTTCCATCTGTCTGCTCCAATTTTTCTGAAGTCACCTTTCTCAACATGGTAGATTCATCAAAGGTAACATCCCTACTGAAGATTATTTTCTTTGTTTCTGGACACCAAAGACGATAGCCTTTCACACCAGAGGTGATCCCCATAAAAATCGCCTTCTTTGCTCTTGGATCCAGCTTTGACTCCTTAACATGGTAGTATGCAGTGGAACCAAACACATGTAAGGAATCATAATCTGTAGCAGGTACTCCAAACCATTTCTCTAATGGTGTTTTACCACCAATAGCAGTCGATGGTAAGCGGTTGACAAGGTGACAAGCATAGACCAAAGCCTCAGCCCAAAATTCTTTGCCTAACCCAGCATTAGACAACATACACCGAACCTTCTCCACTAATGTCCGGTTCATACGCTCTGCCACTCCATTCTGTTGTGGTGTACCTCTGACAGTGAAGTGCCTAACAATACCTTCCTCTTCACAGACTTTCAGAAATGGATCATTTTTGTACTCTCCACCATTGTCTGTACGGAGACGTTTGATTTTTCTGCCTGTTTGAGTCTCCATCATCTTTTTCCATTTAAGGAAAAATCCTAGCACCTCGTCCTTTGTCTTCATTGGATACACCCAAACTCTCCGGGAAAAATCATCAACAAAGGTGACATAATAGTGTGTTCCTCCCAATGAAGTTGTCTTGGAAGGCCCCCATACATCTGAATGAACATAATCCAAAATACCTTTAGTATCATGGATTGCTGTTCCAAATTTCACCCTCGTCTTCTTCCCTTTGATGCAATGCTCACAAAAAGCTAATTTGCAAGCCCGAGCACCCTTCAATAATCCTTGATCTATCAGTAATTTCAAGGATTTTTCACCAACATGCCCCAAGCGCATATGCCATAACCTGGTTGCTTCTGACTCCTGTTCATCAGTAGAAGCTGCCACTGCTGCTGTCCCAACAATTGTACTACCCAGAAAGTAATACACATTGTTTCTTTTTCGGATTCCCTTCATTATCACCAGTGCACCAGAGATAATCCTCATAATCCCATCTTTTGCCCTCACTTCTAAACCTTTTGACTCTAAGGTTCCCACAGAGATGAGATTTCTCATTAAATCTGGTACATAATGGACACCTGTTAAGGTTCTGATTGATCCATCCTGATTCCTCAAGCGAATTGAACCAATCCCAAGTGTGTCAAGAGGGGAATTATTTGCTGTGTAGACAATTTCACCTTTTAGTTCTTTAAAATCAAAGAACCATTCTCTATTGGGGGTCATATGGTGGCTACAAGCTGAATCTAACAGCCATGAACTGGAACAGCTGGTTGATGGCGTAGCAGCGAATGCGAAATCTGAATCTCCATCATCATACTCGACCACATTTGATTCTGAGACAGCCTTCCCCCTTTCAGGTTTGCCTTTATTCTTTAGCCTGGGACATTCTTTCTTCCAGTGCCCTTTTTCTCGACAAAAGGCACATTCATCTTTGCTCAATCTGGACTTTGACTTCGATCTCCCTCTGCTTCCTTTATTCTGACTCTTGGAACGGCCTCTAACAACAAGAGCTTCTGCTTCGACACTTGTGTTTTCTTGTTTGTCTTTCTTTCTCAATTCATAACTATACAAGGCAGCAGTTACTTCACTGAGAGACACATCAACCTTCCCATGAAGTAGAGTAGTTTCAAGATACTCAAACTCATCAGGAAGTGATCCCATCAACATGAGAGCCAGATCTTCGTCTTCAAAAGTCACGTCCATATTCATCAGATCAGTCACCAGCTGATTAAAGCTAGTAATGTGATCATTCATAGTGGTACCTGGTACATAGTTGAAGCGGAACAGTCTCTTTTTCATGTAGAGTTTGTTCTGACCGCTTTTCTTCAAAAATTTCTCCTCCAGTGCCTTCCACAATTTACTTGCAGAAGTTTCCTTAGAAAATGCATACTTCTGCTCTCTAGAAAGACACGATCGAATAGTACCACATGCCATTCTATTGATCCTCTTCCATTCTTTCTCCTCAACATCATCTGGTTTCTCTCCTTCAATAGCAATGTCTAGACCCTGCTGAAATAGGGCATCTAGAACCTCGCTTTGCCACATGCCGAAATGACCGGTGCCATCAAAAATCTCCACTGCAAATCTAACATTTGTCACAGCATTTCTTGCCAAAATTGAAGATGAAGAAGCGTCTGCCATTTCTGCTACAAATTCTATTTAATAGCTGCCAATGCAGAATGTCAATTATCCCAAGGAAATTTTTCTGATGTGGAAGATCAGCCTAAGCCGCAACCACAGAGCATACTAAAATAAACCAAGAGCGCTGATACCAATTGTTGTGAAATTCGGGTTAATTTCCACCAATAACAGATTCACCGTGAAAACTATTATCTAGGTGACTAGTGTGAAAACGATTGTACTAAAAATCACCCCAAGGTAGATTCCCAGGAAAGAGGAGGGGTCACAATGGTCCCTCTTAAAACCCACTTTCCTTAGACAGAATTACCAAGACAAGTAATTTTAATAGGACAATAATTGACAACAACTATACCCGACAATAGCTATTAAATAGACATAAAAGAGAACACCAAAATATTTCACTAATAGAGGAAATATTACAAAGAGAGAAAGAATACAAATAGCCTTTAAAATAGAAGAAGGCTTATATTTGTGGGATGATTAACTAAGGAGGAGAAGGGCTTTATTTATAACAAAAGAATTTCCCCTCCTCCTTATACACAACCAATGTGGGACTTTTGCCAAAAACCAACAAAACTAAAGCTATCATCTTTGCCTATACGTCTCGATTCAAACCATAATTCTATTTTCCATTTTCTTCAAACTCACTCGCACAATCCGCTCTGACCCCTTCTTCTTCTTCACCCTCTTCTTCTCCTTCACATTCACCATTTCCCCATCACCTCCCACAAACCAACAATGGGCAAAGTTGGTTCCTTGAGCGACAATGTCATCAAGAACATCATCCTCTCATACACCTACGTCTCCATATGGATCTTCCTCAGCTTCACCGTCATCGTCTACAACAAATACATCCTCGACAAGAAACTCTACAATTGGCCTTTCCCCATCTCCCTCACGATGATCCACATGTCTTTTTGCGCCTCCCTCGCTTTCCTCCTCATCAACCTCTTCAAATGCGTCGAGCCCGTTTCCATGTCCCGACACCTTTACCTCTCCTCCGTCGTCCCCATCGGCGCCCTCTATTCCCTCAGCCTCTGGCTCTCCAATTCCGCCTACATCTACCTCTCCGTCTCCTTCATTCAGATGCTCAAGGCCTTGATGCCCGTGGCCGTTTATTCCATCGGCGTTCTTTTCAAAAAAGAGAGCTTTAAGACGGACACGATGATCAACATGGTGTCCATCTCTTTTGGGGTCGCCATCGCTGCTTATGGTGAAGCTAGATTCGATACATGTGGTGTTATGCTTCAGCTCGGTGCGGTTGCCTTCGAGGCCACCAGGTTGGTTATGATCCAAATCTTGCTTACTTCTAAAGGCATCACCTTGAACCCCATCACTTCTCTGTATTATGTTGCACCGTGCTGCTTGGTTTTCTTGTTGGTGCCTTGGATTTTCGTTGAGTACCCTGTTTTAAAACGGACGTCGAGTTTCGAATTCGATTTCGTTGTATTCGGAACCAATTCCTTCTGTGCTTTTGCTCTGAACCTTGCCGTTTTCCTTCTCGTTGGAAAGACTTCTGCTTTGACAATGAATGTAGCTGGTGTTGTAAAGGACTGGCTTTTGATTGCCTTCTCTTGGTCTGTTATTAAGGACACGGTGACGCCGATTAACTTGTTCGGTTATGGTCTTGCTTTTCTTGGTGTTGCTTACTATAACCATGCAAAGTTACAGGCTTTGAAGGCCAAAGAAGCAGAGAAGAAACTTGCACAAGCTGATGTTGAAGCTGACAGGTTGTTGGAGGAAAAGCAAGGTGAGGGGAATGATAAGTGAGACTGAAGAGTCCCTTAATTTAGAACAAATGGGCAATTGATCAGATGAACATTATGGAAAGAGAGGGTTGCTAATAAGGATTATAAATGGAGATAAGAGTGGTTTGGATGATGATCAAAAGGGGTTTTTTGTTCTTTTTCTCTTTTGGATGCATTTGAGTTTTGGTATGCTGCTCTTAGGGCCATTCTTAGTAATATAAAGAGGGGGTGGGATTCACATCTGTTGCTTTATTGCACCAATTGATGTATGCTAGGAGAGGAAGAAGAATCTCCCATTCCCTTTATTTTATTTGTTCTTTCGTTTATTTATTCATTTCTGTTGTGTCTTCTCTTTCAGATGTTTACAAGTATTTCTGTAAGTACTCCTTCCATTGATGGAGTTTTGATTCTTATTTATTCATATATGCTTCTTCATTCTCATCAGGTTTCTTTGTTTTTCTTACTTAGTAATGTGATTTGAGAGGTAGAATTGTAGTATGTGGCTCTTAATTTTTATTGCAGTATCTGTTCTGTACTAATGTTTAATGTATATTCATAGGCATGGGATTATAAGCTTTCAGATACTTGAGAAATCAAACATATCCATGTGAAAAATATCTCTGTATCAAACACTCACACTCGAATTAGACGAAATCTTGAGGTGTGCTGTAACACCCCTAACCCGTACCCGACCCTGATACGAGTCCGAGGTGTCACCTTGATTTTTCAAACTTTGACTCTTGACAAAATTCAAAGAAAATTTAAAACTTTCCTTAGAGTAAAAGCAGTTTAGTCACATAATTTGACCACAATAACCAAAATCGATCAGAGCATATTTAACTCAATCAATTAGTACATGCCAACTATATTCAAAATAACAAAAATCATTTAACTCATCTATTTTCTGATCTGAAATCTTGTAAGGGAGATGCTGACCTGTATTGCTCCTCACAGCTTCCATATTCACTTTCTGTAACCTGCGTGTGAAACACTCACACGCTAAGTCGATGACTTAGTGAGGCATAAAGAAAACACATCTAATGGAATTCATACCCACTAATCATGCTTGACTGTTTTATGCTATCAAATTATACAACTCATTTACATATACATCAACATATATTCATGTATATTAGGTAACAGATACCATAACCCCTATCACACATATATCATATCATGCACACATCATATCACACATCATATACATATATCACATACATTGTTCTCATATCACCAACATGTTTATCCTTACTAATTCCCTTGTCATTACTTCAATTCCGTCATATGAGCATATAATGAATATAAACATATTATATATATATTAATAAACCACAATACATTACTAATTTCTATAACCATATAATATATAAACACATAGCATCTCATATCACCATGACATATATACACTTCTACCATGTCACGAGAAATACACATATCATTATATCAAATTATGTTCTCTTTTCAAAGCCCATGTACACCGGAGTGCCGCGTAGAATTGCACTGTAGTGCCATATAATAATGTCCATAAGGACCACATATCATTCCTTAAGAATCATATACATATACTAGGGATCAAGTATGTGTCTCACCAGACTTCACATATGTTCCAAAGAATACATATATGTCCCGAAGGACCACATATCATTCCTTAAGAATCATATACATATGCCAAGGATCAAGTATGTGTCTCACCAGACTTCACATATGTTCCAAAGAATACATATATGTCCCGAAGGACCGCGTAGACCCTCGACTCTTAGCATGCCAACTATACCCCTAGCTCTCAAGACACATAACATGGGCATTTTCTTTTATACTTATCATTTCACATAACACATAGTTCAATTACTCATAGAACATTTTCATATGAGTCACATTTACATGTCACATAGCTTATATACTTTCTCACGTAGTTACATAGATCCATATCATATAACATATATCTCAAAGTGCATATAATCACATATATCATATCATATAGCTTAGATCATTTCTCAGATATTCATATAAACATACATATCATATCTTGTTCACATATGATCATATATGCTTCATATAACACATAGAAACACCTAGAACACTTTCTCATAGCTTATATCAATTTTCAGGGTCCTTTTATATTACCTGATGACATATATCACATAGGTATATAATAACTGATATCATATCATCTACCTTATGCTCCATTTCTTTGTATTCCTTTAGATTATATAAATTATATCGTATTCTAAACATATATCATTATAATCTTTTCATATCGCTCCATAGCTATTTAGCATATAACTTATCTTGCATATTCGTATTGTCCCTTTATATTCAAGTTTCCTAATTGATATACTATTTCCATTTCATCCTATAATTCAATCTTATTTAGTTCCCTTAACTCTCATTAAATCAAAAAGCTCTATTATACTAATTCTCATAATAAATCATACCACTATGTACTTGTCCAACTCATGTTTCCATTATGCATATATTGTTACCCATGTTTACCTAGTTCATATCACTTCTCATGAACTCACTTTCATCATATTTTCATATTATTGCATATTTTATCTCATAACCATGTATTCACATAGTCTTATATTTCATTATCATATTACTTATATTTGTTCTCCTATGACTCTTTATAAACATCTATTTTCCATTTCCCTACATCTCTTAACTTATCTTCTATAGTCCTATAATTTCATAACTTATTTTATATTTTCTCATTAACACTTAATCGTGTTTTTACATAAACCACATGGCACATACAAAACATAACAATTCAGATAATCAAACATACATACACTCATATTCAACTCATGCCTTTAATCATGAATTCATATGTAACACTTCAGGAAATAGATTCATCGCAAGTCTTATTCCCATCACACACCATATACTATTGAATATGCACTCACCTGATCTCATTAGTCAATCTCGATCTTTAATCTTTCCCCTGATCAATCTTACTTGCTAAATGTTCCAGAATTGCCTTATGCTCAGAATCTACATAAATGTACATTTTAAGGCAATTATTATATACCTACACCTTGTAATTGGATACTAGCAACTTAAACGAACTTATTAAACCCATATTCACAATTTTCCTTTAGGGGGTATCGATTCCCTACTGGGGGTATCGATACCCTCATGACATTCTGGAATTCTGTCGTTTGAGAGGGTATCAGTACCCCTTTGAATGGGTACCGATTCCCCCTAACCCAGAAATCATTTTTCAGCACAAAAATTACTTCATTTCCTCTCAAACACTTCATATATCATCCCCTTTCTTATTCTTAACTTACATATACATGCTTAAACTCATTACTACTCATTCAATACATCTTTAACTTCAAAATCTAATTCTCTGCATAGAATTCAAGAATCACACTAATTTTTCTTCTTGTTCTAAATTCAATTACATCACTTCATATCTCTTAATTCAACCATTGACAAGTCAAATTTATCTTCCAATTTGAGTAAAGAACTCTATTCCAGAATTTCATTCAAAAACTCTTAATCTTTAATCCCTCTTAATTCCACCATACTTTGTTTTTAAGATGATTTAAGCTTTCCTTAAGCTTAATTATCATCCAATAATCATAACCAAACCTTTAGTTGAACAAATAATCAACTAATGAAGAAACTTACCTTTGCTTATGGCTTCACGGTGGAAAAGAAGAGAATGAAGAAGAGAAGTCTGGAACTCTCTCATATTTCCCACGTTTATAATACTCAAAAAGGGAAGATAAAAATCTTTCCCATGAAAAGACCATTTTGCCCCTTTAGTTCATCCAACTTTGCTATTTAATCCAATATTAAAATTCTTTACTTAAATCCCAGGACTTTTAAATTTCATTTCTAAATTGAACACAAAACTTTCAAAATTTGCAATTTAGTCACTGACCATGATTTGGGATGTTACAAATCTTCCCTCCTTTAAAGAAAATTCGTCCTCGAATTTTCACTGCATGCCTTTATAATATCACGTCTTCTAATATTTTCATGTTGCTTCCCTTAATATTTCCTGCCACCGCTACAACTTACCATTTTCCCATACTCAATTCTTCATATACGTCCACCTCTTTATAAGTTCATAGAATATTATTCATTATATAGATAGCAACCCCAAATCCTTAATCCTCACTATTATAGATCAATTGATCTTTTTCATCATTCTCTATGTGCTTTGCACATAAATCAAGCTTTTGCTCATTTCTTAATCCTTGTAAGTATTATTATACACACCCAATCTTTTCATATAACCCTTACGTATTTGTTCAAAGAATAATCACCCATTCTCATTCTTCTAATAATTGAAAATTGTATTATTTCAATATCAACTTATAACTTATATCTCAATATACCTCTTGTCTTACTTGATCGTTTAACCTCCATCTTTGTCTTTTCCTATCTCTTTATTCTTTCATTCCTTCCAACATCACAATCTCCTTATAACATAGATCACATCTTTTCTTCAGGCTCTCATACTCTTTTCATATCGTTTATACTTATCCCTGATTATTGATCTTCATCGCATCTTCATAAATTTGATAATCTGCTTTACTTATACAGAATCTCATTTTTTTTACCATCTCTTGTACTTGTATTTTCTTCCTCAAATATCCTTTTTAAACATACCAATACTTATTTCCTTGCCTACATCATATTTATATGATCAAAACCATATCCAAATCCACATCATACTTGATTAACTTAACTTTATATTTTCTTCAAATCTTAGAACTTTATTATCCATACTATTACAATTAATCAGTCACAACTTTTCCAATTTAGGGCATAAGCCCTAATCAGACTAATCATATTCATCTTCTCAGTTGAAATCCAATCAGTGCAATTTACTCACTTATCCAGCCCACACTCTTATTCATATACAATATTATTCTCTTGTTTCCTCTATTACCTTACATTTCCGTGATCAAAACACATAATCGTGTCTCAATTCACACCCTACTTAATTAATTTACCCTGACATCATCCTCTAATCATTTACCTTTGATACACTTACCATCACATAATTCTGTTAGTCACCACCAATTATTCCAATCTAAAACATAAACCTTCATCGAACCATTCATATACATTCATTCCAGTCGGAATTATCTCAGCAATAGTTTACTTAACTTATCAAATCCACATTTATTATGATCCAAATATACAACT